GGCAATTTCTATATATTCGTACATACTATCACCATCCGAAACTGAAAAGTTAACCTTCGCCTGCAATCTGCAGGTGTTTTCGAAGACAAAAAACAATCTAATCAACAAAAAAACGCTTAGCTACCAATCTCACATGTCAAGATTTTAATGAGATCCTCTACAACATATAAATCACAAACTTCTTTACATTTTTATGTGGTTTTTACAAACCCTACTTTTCTATATAAATATAAATATATATTTGTTATCAGTTGCTGTACAAAGCCTTTGGCTACTGTTTTTTTTTTATTATTGAGATCACACATCACATGATTTATAAAAGGTAGCAGTTTTTTCATAATACATATCAGCTCTGTTCTGGGGGAATTTATTTAATTTATTTTTCATTATCTGCGATAGACAAAGAACAAAACACAAAAGCGCTCATAAGGCAGATACAAGATACAGATGATAAATTAATTGTTGTATTTCTTTTGTTTTAAGCAAACCACTCCAACAAATGAATATTATTGCACGTAATTGTGTTTCAACGCCTCGTTTACTGTGGCTGCAATGCTATGCATCAACTATTACGTATATGGGAAATTTGAAGCATAACATGCGACATCACATGTAATCGCAATCGCAATTGCGCTACGATAAGTGATATTGTAAATATTCGAAGTGAAATCGAACTCGATATGATTAGGCCATCGGCTTATGGTCTAAACAACAATAATAATCGAAAACAAACTAACGATATTGTCAGAGGCCCGACAGGCCAGATAAAAGCTAATCTAAACCAGTCAAGGATGAACCCATCGCCAGCCCATACATACATACACGCACACACTTACTCTGGCTTTTAGTTTGCCATACCTGCAGGAAAAAATTGCAAATTTTAAGCCCATTTCCGTAATTTCTAAGTTGGTTAGTTCTCGACTGTTTGGCAAGGTTTCAAGCTGAAAGGATTCTCGGTTCGTAAACTGTGAAGATTTTAAATATTTTTCGTTCGCAATGATGTGTTGGTTAATAATAATGTTAGTACATTTTCGGGTAATTAAATCGGCTAACGGTCCCATTTCCTGTATAACACCCTGCAGTGTTCTGATCAACTAAATACGATTGCTCTTTTTTTTTTAAATGGTTGTTAAGTCTCTGTCTCAACTGTAAGATATTTGGTTTCAATTTTCTTTGAATGCAGCTGCAACTGCATTGTCATAGCTTTGGAGTCCGGTTTGATCACTGAGTGATTCGTGTAACGGTCAGAGTTCTTGTGATTAATTTGCCTAACCCCAAATATACTGACTCTGCCGCAGCAATTGCAACACACTCAATAGATTGTTACACGATATTTATCCAATCTGTTTGATCCGTTTAAGAACCATTGCTGAGAAGAACGTGATTGGGGATGGGGTGGGGCATACTTGCTTTCGATGTGCTCATCAGTTATCCGCTTTTGCGTGATTCGGATTATACATTTTACTTGGTTTGAGGCTAATGTTGTTTGGTGTTTATTGTTTTTGGTTTTGGGTTTTTATTTTCTTGACTGGTCACCGCCCCCTCGAAGCTTTGATTGATGTAATGTGCTGTGCGTCCAATGTGGGACTCCAGTTATACCAGAATACGTTTGATACTCTCTTATACTTTTACCGTTTGTTTGCTCATTACACGCATGTTCTCTCATTTTGGGGTCTTAATATTGTGGTCGCTTTTCCACGTGCTCAGCTATGATTTCTGACTCGTAGTGCAAAACAATCAATTTAATTGTTATCACGAGGTATGGAGAAGAAAATACCAAAAGGAACCGAACCGACCAGAACAGAAAAAAGTACAAACGTTAAGTATAGTAAATAAAGCTACTTATTCGTACGTCGTTGTACCTCTTGATATCAACGGGCTCGCATACCCTGTGCTGTTAATGATTAAAAGGGGTATTACGATGTTATGCAAACAGGCATATATGCTACTGATCAACGCCTGAATTTCAAATGTGATTGAAGTTTAACTTTCAAAATAATTAATTTAACAATTATAAAATATTTGTGTTCAATTATTTATTATCATGTAGGCCCATTACCCACTTCGTTACATACTGGTAGGGGTACCCAAGCTAGCCAAACAGAATCGAAAGAGTACATATTTTGCACTTTGAAATACAGCTATCAGTCGTGTTTTTATTATCAGCACACCTATTTCGATTTGCGATCTCAAATTCATGTAATTTTTTGTTATTATTTAACTCTAATTGATGTCGAACTTTTCCAAACATCTAATAGCTCGTTGCCTAATTGATAATGATTATTGAATAATTTTCTTTTTGTTTTCTCATATTTTTAAATTTCAAATTAAACAGCTGCCAAAGTGTCTGTAATATTATCGATAGCTATAGGCCGGGTACGATTGTCGTATCTTGAAAGAGTAATAGTTTAAAGATAAGACTAGATAGATCTAAATATAAGTATGTAAGGCAATGAGCGATTCGGTTTTCCTTGAATGTTGACACACTTGAGCTGTTTTCATTGCTAGTATTTTTGTCGTTGTTTAAGCAAGCGGCTACAATTAAAAGTGAAGTGTTTTTATTTTTTACTTGTCCGCCCAACCCACCGTCTGACAGGTACCCTATAAAAACGTTCACGTTCACGGCGGCACTTTCGCAATGACAATGAGACAATTATAGTCGCAGTATCTGAACGATTTTTTAGTTGTCTGTTGGCAATTACACGTGTATTAATGCACGAGTTGACATTGTTGTCGCTATTGTTGTTTAATTACGTCGAGTTACGATAAAAACAATAAAAACACACATACACCAACACATAAACGCGACTAATCCATAATCTTTCTCCAGGAAAAAAAAACAAAACAAAACAAAAACAAAATAAAAAACTCCCCATCAAATTGTATTCAAGGTCCTGACCCAAAGGAAGGGCGTTGATCGGACAATGGCTATAATGCAAATCTTACCGAAAATACAAAATACTTCCCGACTCCAGCCACGACTCGACTCGATGTGTATATGTAGTTCACAGCTTAACAGCTCTGCTTTTGAACCATGTAGTGCAAGCGGCAGCCCCCATGGTATTAATGGTATCCAACTCAACGGGTGGCTCCTCCCCCCGCGTGGGGGTTAACATTAGCACACAGTTCAGCCTTCAAAAAAAGAAAACATAGTAAGAATGCTGTAGTCGGAAGAGTTCGATTAAAAGATACCCTGAATCCAGCTGTTCGGTTCTTGATGCTGATCAAGAATATATGTATATACTTTATTCCAACTTTTGCCCAACTGCATTATACCCTGTTTAATATGTTTACTTTGTTCGGTTTGCAACGTAAGCTGGCAACTAATACAATACTTATATAATTATGTAAATTTACAAGCATTTTTCCAAAGCAAGTCAACGAAAATGACCCACTGCTACTACTGGATACACTTGGATTACGACTTATTGGAAGGGTGTCCAAATGCCACGAAGCATAAATATCCCGACTCCATATTGAAGGTTATGCCTATGGAAGTGTATTTAGTATTCGGTGACCTTAAAGATAACTGTTCCTTTTCGTTTTTATTATGATGAAGTTAAAAACCAAAAAATACAACTACAAAAAATTACGTTATGTTAATTACCAACTTACGTTAAGTCAGACCTTCAGTCTGTGTTGGGAGGATGGGGGACAGACGAAGAAAAATGCGACTGGGCGTGTTACACTTTTCAACTGCCAACATTTTGACGGTCAATGTCCACACACACACAACATATTCACACACGCACACAGTTAGTTTCGGCTATTTATTATTTTTTTCTTTCTCATTTTCCTTTGTTTTGCTTTGTTTTTTGTTGTTGCTGTTTTATGACGCTTGTAATTAAAGTCGTAAAGTGTTGGTAGTCTTTAAGCTTCTTGGATTAAATAGTAAAAAGCACTTAAGTAACTGTATGTTATGTATGAATGTACATATATAGAAACGGAGAGTTATATCACTGCTTAGTGGTTATATAAAACTACCATATATACGGGGACCTATTACAAAAAACATGGTCAGTCAAAACACACACACACACACACACACAGAGAATGAGGTTCAGACTGTGTGGTAATAAAAGCTAGAAGATGTCAAAATTCTAATAAAAAAGACTACTAAGGGTTAATACCCTTTGCACTTATGCACTACCAATTATAAAATTATAAAAAAAAGTAGCTGTATATTAAACTTTGAAGTTCAAGTGAGATATTTATTAGAAATTCTTAAGAATCCAAACTGATGCAGATAATTGCGAACCCATAAAGTATATAAATACATTGTGCATACAAGATCTAATATCTAAGATTGAAATTTATAAATATTAACTGAGCGCTTATAATAAAAAAGTAAAATTTGTCTAGTATTTACCTTCTGTAATAGCCCAAATATGAAAATGGAATCATATTATAAAATATTGTCCAACTCCCTCCCTCTCCTCGTAGATCCTTCACCTTATCCAATTCCAATCCAATCTTCTCTGTGTCACAATTGCTCTCTAATTAAGTGAATAAAGAATCTAAGCATGGGTTTTGACTATTCGCTGTGAGTGTGCATGAATATGAAGTAAATATGAATATCTATCGACTTAATTCCGATCTATTTACAGAGTATCTGTTATAGCGTAATAGTGTCAACTTTCTTGTTTAGAACTTGTATCACATTAATAATAATAAGAATTGTATTTCGCTTTGCTTTTAGGTCGCAGCCCATAACAACACCACCGATGCGATAGGCAACCCACAACACTCGAGTGCTATGCTCCCCACGAGCTATACAATGGGCGTCCTGACGCCCCTAGCTCGGGCCACACAACTACGACTTTAAGCAGAGAAAAAAGTGGAAACACGAGCTAGGTGACGATCAAACGAAAAGAAGGAGCAAAGAAAAAACACAACAACAACAACAATTTGACGAGTTTTTCGCTCGGTGCTGAGCGCAACGTACGCCAACAAACAAATGAGGGTGCAACACGTAACTAGCCAAGCAGCAGCAGCCGAAGCAGCAGCAGCAGACGCCGCCAACAGCATCAGCAGCAGCAGCAGCAGGTTGACCAACTAAGCGAAACCAGCAGCCAACATCTTCAACAGCAGAGCATCTCCTCGCCCAGAAGACAGCAACAGCAGCCGGAGCAGCCAAACAGGCGATAGTCGCACAAGAAACGATAAGCAAACATAAAAAAAAAAAAAACAAGAAAAAAAGCCAACTCCAAAATGTTACAAAACTCGAATGCAGTCGCAGCGGTTGCAGCAGCAGCAGCGACTCCCAGCACAGCAGCCGCTGCGGCAGCGGCGGCCAATAATGCGGCGATTGCTGCGTCATCCATACAGCCAAAGCTGGTTGTCATACGGAGGCGTCCGAATCAGGGCTTCGGTTTTACGCTGCGTCACTTTATTGCCTATCCACCGGAAGATGATGCTGCCAGCTGGCCTCAGGTAAGCATCACAGTCGCAGCCAATTGGCAGCGGTGGGGTGAGGTGCGATGGGGTACAGTGAGAGCTTTGAGAGTACACTCGAAACAAAATATGCCATAGAGCTTCACTTTTCTTAAGCCGTGCTTAATTTCTATGAAAATAAAATCAAATACAATATCTAAATTCTGGTTGCATTGTAGGACATTTTAGTCGAGTAAACTCGACTACGATAAACCCTGAACCTATTCTAGTTTCCAGATTTCCCTTTCAAGGATTTGCACATTCAAATATAAGCATGCCTCAAAGTGCACTCATTTCTGCAGCAATCACACCAATATATTTACACGCACGTCGATTTCATGCCGTCCCTTTTGCACACATTCACGCTCCTATAGAAATAAGATCATCATGAGAATAGGTTTCTGGTTATAACCAAAGTGTTTCTTATCGACTTGAATATTAAAATGTCAATGTAAATTTTACATCCTTTAAATGTTGGCTTTTATTGCTAACGACAATCGAAACGTATCAATTTTCGAGAAACGGGGGCAGTTATCAATAAAATTACATAAACTTGATATGCCCGGTGTATACGAGATCAAGAATATATATATTATATACCGGGTTGGAGATGCTTCCTTCTGTCTTTTACATACTTCACTATATCCTTAATGTATACATTTAAAAAAGAAGACACAATAAGATGGGCGCTGCTAAATTGATTTCTTAAATCAAGAAAATATTTTTAAAACTACAAATTCTAAATTATTGTCTATATTTCTTCGAATGTAGAGAGCAGGCCAAGACAGTGCGCAAGCGCACCGGTCAGCACCTACCTACATACATACATGCATACATACATACATACATACATACATACATACATACATACATACAGACATACATACAGACATACATCCATACAGGCATACACACAGGCATACATACTTACGTATATGCATGTATGTGTGCTCTTACATGTGTGTGTGTGTCTGTGTCTGTGAGAGTAGCTAGCCTGGTTGCCTGCATCTCCAATTAGTCATCGATCGCTTTGGCACTTTTGCTTTTTGCGCTTCGGCAAGTCTCTGCCACTGCCTCTGCCTCTGCCTCTGCGTCTGCCTCAGTCGCTGGCACTGTCACTGTCTCTGTATCGATCGCAGTCGCTGCCGTTACGTGAGCGAAACGCACGCGCCGCTTATTCAAATGGCCGTTGCTGCTTTCTTTTGCTCTTGACAGTGCTGGCCAAAGTATACCGAGTACGTTGAATGGTTCGCTACAACGTCAAGTTGACCATTTGGAAGCAACGGCAACAATGTGTTTTCGTTTGACTTTTAGATAAAAAAAACAGCCAAAAAAAAAATCGTGTTCGAATCTCAGCTCCCTGCCAGTCAAACACAATTACAACAAATATAAATTTAATGTACACAAAAAAGTCTGCAATAAATGTTGCGAATTTAAAAAATATCAAAACTAGTCTTTCCAGTTAAAAAAAGAAGGCTTTTTATAAATAATTGACCATTTTAATAATTTTGTAATGCCTAGCAATATTTAGATTGTTTGTAGCTTATATTCAAATTGAAATCTTTATTTAGTGACTTCTTGAAAAAGATAATATGTGAATGTGGGTTACTTATCAGATAGGGTATTTGAAATTCCAAGAGTCTTTTCTCACTCTCTCACTCTCTTGGGAGTTTTTTCTTCTTTTTTTTGCACTAATTTGCGTTTTGCTCACTTTACTTTTATTACATCCGAAGTTTTGGTTTTGCACTCTCTTCGACGATCTCTTACTGTTTGGGGCCTGCCAATCTCTCTCAGTTTCTCTCTCTCTCACTCTCGCTCTGTCTGCCTGTCTCTCTGAGCCACTCTCCTTGTTGCCATTTATTTTATTGCTATGTTGTTGTCGTTTCACGTTTTTGTGAATGCTTTTTATTTTTATTGTTGCTTTGTACGTTTTGTGTAGGAAGCGACAAACGTTGTCGGCAACAGTGGCAACAGCGGCGGCGGCAGCGGCGGTGTCGTCGGCTTGGAGCCAACGTCACCAACGTCGCTGCCGCCATACCAAGTGAAAGCGATGGAGACCATTTTCATCAAAGAGGTGCAAGCGAACGGACCGGCTAACTACGCCAATCTACAGACGGGCGATCGGGTGCTAATGGTGAACAACACGCCGATCGCTGGCATTGCCTACAGCACCATTGTGTCGATGATCAAGCAGACGCCAGCGGTGCTAACTCTGCACGTTGTGCCCAAGGAGTGCGATGTGCTCCAGATGGTGAGTCCAAAAGACATAATAACATACATCTTTATACATATTTAGATTCGTGTACATTGTATAATTATAAACTGATCTTAACATATCGGCTCCAATCGAATCGAATCGAATCGAAAGTCATTGCATTATTATCCAGTCTAATCTGTGTGTTGTCCACTTAATTTCCCTTTGCTCTCAGCACTATACGTCTATTGCCCATACGCCAGAATCGAATCGTTTAACGATGTCCGCACAAGGATCGCCCGCGCTGCTCTCAAATGGCGCTAAGCCGACATTTCCACAGCAACAGTTGATCTCATATCCCGCTGTTGCCAATTCGTCGTCATCGCCAGCATCCTCGCCGCTTCATGGCGGCAGTCGTTCTGGCAGCATCACAAGCAATGCCAGCGGCAGTGGCAACAATAGTCACCATCAGCTCCACCAGCACCAATATCAGCAGCAGCAACAGCAGCAGCAGCTACATCCGCAACGTCATCCGGCGCTAACTGGTGGCAGCAGCAGCATCGACTTTGGTGACATGGCCCATGGACTGCGTCAGCATCAGCATCAACAGCAGCAGCAACAACAGCTCTACCAGCAGCAGCAGCAGCAACATCATCATCATCATCAGCAGCAGCAGCAGCTGCTGTCGAGCAGCTTTATGCGGTAAGTGTAAACTACTACGACTATGAGTATGGCAACGACTGCCCGCCCCACCTGGGCCATTGACGTCAGCATGAGGTGGGGGGAGGGGGGCGTTCAGGGATCAATGGCAGGAACGGCTGTTAATCTTATCAGTCTGACAGTCGGCAGGTTGTGACGACGCTCTGCCCACTGGCGTTTCTCTTTTGCCATGCAGCCAAAATGACAGTGTTTAGTGCAATTAGACGGGCCAGCGACCGTTGGCCAAAATGCCACAGTGGGGCAAAAACTATTGAGAAAACCTTCAACAGCAGTTTTCAATTACATTTGAAAAGGTATTCACGAGCTTTCGTTACTTATAACAGTTGAACTAAAAACTTAAACAGCGTCGAGTAAAGAGAGTTAATACACTACATTTTTGTGGGGAAAGTAAACCCATCAATCTTCCTTAATTGAATAATAAGACATTAATCATTATCCGATTCAAATGCATATGCAGATATTTATTTGATAATTTCGACATTCTTGCTGAAAACAAAACTATTGTCGAATTAATTTCGCCAACAGATGATCATTGTTACAATATAATAAATTAAATTTATATATATATATATATTTGAATAAATTTAATTTGTTTATGTTCGTTGATCGATAAGATTTTTGACACTGATGTGAACCACTGCCAATGCTAATCGACATATACATACACATGGGTATATATATATATATATATATATATATATTTGTATGTATTCGAATGTTTCGTTAATATTTATTTGCAAAGGCATACACAAAAATACACACACATTCACATTCATTCAGTGAGACAAATTGACAGTTTACTGGCCAACAGCCTTTGGCGCCGTCGCCGTTAGCGGTTTCAATGAACTTGATCACACTGTGCGCCATGGTTGATTTATGGTGGCATGGAGAGACTGCTTACTTTTAGCTCCCCATCCTTTCAATACACACACACACGCACACACACACTCGCACACAGATTTGTATTATGTGTTTGCATACGCATATTGTGCATTATTTGAATTTCATTCAAGAAACAAACAAACAAATAAGGTTCATAAAAATAATATTAAACGTCAGCAGAGCGGAAGATGATTTTCATTGAGTAATCGAATAGCCTGAAACACAAAATACGCAAATACAATTGTCATTCTATGTGTGTGTGTTAAAAATTAAGTTCATGCTCTAAATGACATTTGCTAAGCACAGAAATTGCACCAACAAACAATAGCTGCAAAAACCATAATTAAAAACAATTGTAAAGTGAACCTTGTGCCCAAAGTGTGGCCTCTCCCTATCCACCCCTCTGGCCAATCCATTAACCCATCCCTGGTCTCCATATCTAATGTCCAGCACAATTTCGCACATTCTTTACCACACTTTTCACAGTCATTAATTTGTACATGCTTGTAAATATGTAAGTTAAAATATACATATATGCACATATGTACATATGTATGTATGCATATGTATCTATCTATATAGGCGCATTATAATTATGATGAGTCCATACATTGACCGGCCACGGCCTATAAAATTATAGAACACCACACAGCAGCCAAATGTGACTGACTCTGATGATTTCATCATATATGTACATACATACATACATACATACATATATATATATATATATATATATATATATATATATATATTATTTGTTATTCTTCGCCCCCCTACATTTGATCAATGTTGTGTTGAATGAAAATCGTTTATGTATTCATACATTAAGTATATATGATAAGTATTTATTCCAAATGTTGTTATCAACAGCTGATTGCTATCGAGTCACATTTTCAGCTCTTGATAATTACACGATGATCTGTAGTTTGAAATTGCCTTATTGTCATTTAATTCAGTTAATTGTTTTGTGTTTTTTAAAGCATTACTTTTGTTTTGTAGTTGATCATCGCTTCTACATCATATATTTCGACAAATTTGTCTGCCGTTTATCAATGACTTCATGATATGTATCGATAATTGATGGATTATCAAGCTGCAGATCAATTGTAGTCCTCAAAGTTGATTGCGAATTAATATTGCATTGATTTCTCCACTCGATATTCTGTTTGAAATGCGATCTTTGGGATATGCGTTTGTTTCACTCGTAATATTCCCTGATCATCAAAATTTGTCTACTCAGTGTTGACTTTACGACTGCGTCTGGATTTGGCAATGACGACAAATGCATTTATTCATATTTCTCGTGTTTTTCAAAACAAAAATAGGCAAATGCATAAAAATGCCATTGGCCGGCCACTAGGCGAACTTCCTCTTTTCACTCTATCTCTCTCTCTTTCTCTCTCTCTCAATGTGTGTGTGTGTGTGTGTGTGTGCATATCTTTATGGATAGGGTAATAGACAGTCCTCTTCAGATTTGACCAAAACGTTGGAATGCGAAGCTTTTGAGCCATCGTGGGCACTGCAATTGAACTTTGAAAAGTAATAAATATATATATATATATATATATATTTTTTTTTTTTAGAAAGTAGTCCATTTTCACTGATTTATTTTTTTTCTCAATATGTTGCTCTGCATAGCATATGGAGTTGTACAATAGCAGAAATCTATGAAAGTAACTTTGCTAATAGAATTTTGTTAATATATTTGCATCTTTTGCTATATTAATAATGTGCCTCACAATCGAACAACGGATATCAATAAATTTATTTGTAGAAGAAATTAATTTAAATATACATCATTTGGGAATTGTGCTCATTTTGATTGGATGTAAATTGAGCTAAAGCTTTGCTAATGAATTATTTGGTTAATTGTGAGCCGCATACTAAAAAAACAATGTTCGAGTCGAGAGCTCTTTAACATCATCGGAAGTTTCTGCCGAGTGGATGATTCCATGTTAACTGTGTTTGGCACGTGTTTCGGATGCCATGTTAAATTGCTTTTTCTATTCTTTATTCTTTCTTTATATTTTGTTTTTAGTGTTTATCGTTTCTAATTACGTGCTGGCAAGTTGCGGCGCACTTGCTCGTAGATAAAAAGTGGTTAGGAAGACATTTGAGGCATCAGCCACTTCCATACATGCATATCTCAGCTGTAAGCAACTGTCAATTGTTTATTTATTTATTCTTATAATAACTGACTTTTTCCCAAATTGTATTCCATATAATTCAGGGTACAGGGTGTCTGCGCGCTGAGCATGCTTGTTTAATATTTAATGTCTGCTTCGCTTTGCAAGCCATTAAAATAACAAGCAAAAATAACAAACAAAAAAAAAAAAACCGAAAAGTGCAAAAAATATATATTAAATATGCTCAGTGTCGAGAATTGTTGAAATTCAAATCACATTTCGAATTTTTCAGTGTATTTTGGACATTATAACGCCCACATTTCGACATGGAGACAAACAAACAATTGCGTATACGCAACGGTTGTCGTCGCATTCGTTGTCTGTCGCTATATGCGATGTAAATCATATTTCAGTATGCACATGTACACCTATATCTATATGTGTATCTCTGTGTGTGTGTGTTTGCAATCAATTATTATATGTGTATATGTCACCAGAGGAACGTCAACGTCAACTCATTGACTAATCGCACAACAACAACGCCATTAAGAAGAACAACTACTAAACCGCATATGCAAAATCGCCAAAGCCTTAAATATACTTACATATCTATATTTATAAAGTTATATATATAGATAAATATATATTATTATACGTATACATTATATATATATATATATATATATATATATATATATATGGGTAAGTGAATGCATAAGCTGAGCGTAAATGGACAACAACAAAAAGCAAAAAGCAACTGCACACGAATAACGAATATTTGTTAACGCGCCATTGTTAAATGATTACGACAAATTTAATTGAATTTTGTACAACACACTCGCAAACACACACCACAATAATAATAACAAAAAAAAAAATGAAATAAATAAAAAGTGAGAAAGAAATAAGTTCAACCGCTGTGAATGGCATTTGAATTCGTTCGCCCGACTGGATATCGTCCGCCTCAACTGACCACGCCTCCAGTTGAGACACAGATTGAGATTGAGATGTACTATATATGATATCTGAAGATGAGATTGTGACGGAGCTCAAGAGTCTGAAATGACATGATGATGATGGCAATGCAGATCAAGATGCAGATAAAGATTTATGTAAAAATACTTGGCTATGTAAATAATTGGCTACTTGAGCCATTGCAAAGTCTGTAATTGTATAATGCGCTGTTGGATCCATGATGATGACAATTGAACATACCGACGGACAGATATAGTTGTACATAAATACACCTATATGTATATGTATGTAGAAATATACATATATATAGAGGATACAAGAACGAACGCTGTCTGTTTGACCTTTGATTCTTTCAACCTGAGTTTTGTGTAATATTGAATTTAACTAACATGCTTGATGGATGACAAAGTTGACACGTTTGACACACACTCAAATAATATGCAAACTGTGCACAGTGGTGCAAAATGCAACCAGCAATTCGATAACCTTAATGGATATGGATTTGAGCATCTCACTACTTCATACGTAAAGAATAACATTTATTGTTCTAGAAACATAATTATATTTATAATTGAATTATATTTTCCTGATACCCACTAAAGAGAAGAAAAAGGAAAGCTTTGAGTGACACTCCTTGTGAGACACTTCGAAGATCCTTAATCTTAGCTTATAAACCTTAGAGTTTAGCGTACTATTTCTCGCTTGTGAAGTACTGATTGACAGACTAACATCCAAATGCAATAGCTATGTTCTCGGAAAGGTATCCAGATTACCCTCATGGACATTATCGATGAGTTTTTCGCTCGAATCAAAAATAGCATCGCCTGTTTATCACTTTCGACTAGGCCCACAATCCAATCTGTTTGTTTCGCGTTGCGATTACAATAAATCTAACTACTTGTGTACTTGAATACCTATACTCTTATACATACATATGTATATGTATATACGATAAACATACACATATGCAACGCATCCATTTACAGAGTATTATGTGCCTTCTGTATGTGCACAATGAAATATTTTTGCGCTATGCGCGTGGCGCAATTGGTTATAAAATAAAAGAAAGAGCGTTCAGTTCTGTTGTCGTTCGGTGGTTGGGTGGGTCGATGGGTCGTTCCGTTCGTCGTTGGCTTGACGGTGGGTTGTTCGACGATTGCCCACTCAATAGCTGGGGGCTCTTTTCAATTGGCCCTGCCCGTCTGTCTGTCGTCTGTCTCGTTGCTGCTGTCGCAAGCTTAATATGAATTTCATACATGCATACAAAGTGGATTTTTTTTTCGTCGCTTGAATCTTTTTTTTTTATTTATTTATTATTATTATTATTTTATTTTTTTGTATTTCAGCTTAGTCGTATGGACTTTGGGTTGTACTTTAGTTTAGTTGCTGATGCCGAGTGGAGCGCGTAGATTTCGCATCACAACAAAAATATATATATATATATATATATATATATTAAATCTTGAACTCAGTGAGCTTTTTTTTTTTTGTTGTTTCGTTTCGAGTGTGTGGGTTGAATTTGAATTTTGGCGTTGAATTCGAAATGCACTTATCATTGATATCGTGTGGTTATTGTGATTGCCTTTGATAAAAGCACAAATGTGACAAAGTGGTGGCGGGTGGGTGAGTGGTTTGTATCGAAAACACTCGCACCGCAAAGTTTTGTCATAATTGCAGAGACCTTGAAATACATTAGATCTATTAGATCACAAAGTTCAAGTGCCTTTAATGATAAAAAGCACAGAGCTGCTAGCAACAACAACCAACAAAAGCTAAAACAACAACTAAATCAAATCGAGTGACTGCTGCAACAAACATGTCCACGAGCAAATGTTGCGTTCAGATTTTCTTGAGCAACAACAGCAGCAGCAGCAGCAGCAGCAAGAAAACAACAATGCGCGATTGTCTCAATTTCTTAGTAGTTATTTGTTTGATGTTTTCTGTTTTGTTTCCGTTGCGTATGCTGCCTAAACAATGAACAGCAGCGCTGCCGTTGGCGCTGACAGAGCAACGATGACGTCGACGTCAACGCCAATGGGTGTCGCCATAGTCGCCATCGACACCGCTGGGCGCCGTCGCCACCAGCGGCGAAATCGATACCAAAAACAGCCAACAAATAAATGCAATGCGAATTCCACAAAAATGGAGATAGAGCCACCAATGGGATGGTGGGCGGAAGGGAAGCTGTTTACTGTTTTTGTTCGATGGGTTCGGAAAGCCGCGTGGGAATGGTGGGGGGTTTGGGGGGGGGGGGACTTTTGACCGGTTTCGGAGTGTAACATTGTGGCTTATCAAATATGTCAACATATTTTTATTTATGACTTGTTAATTGCAAAGAGAGGCGAAAGAGTTGCCAATACGCAAATCGGACAATAGCCGGCAATAATAATATCAACAACAACAATGGCAACAACAATGACCAGTCAGTGAATGAACAACAAGCAGACAATAAAGCGCGAAATTCCACACAATACACATACATAGACACACACACCCACAGGCAGTTTGTATCTGTATCTGTATCTACTATCTGTATGGCTGATAAATACAGCTCATTTGTTTGGCTCTGACTTTTTACTGATAAGCAGAAACAGCAACAACCACAACAACAACAACCACAACAACAACAACAACAAATCAGCACAATAGAGTCCGCGATTCATGGCGTATCGAGTCACTTGTCTATCTATCTATATATCTATTTATTTATTTTTGTTCGCTTGTGTACTAGGCTTATGTAAAGATAATATTCTCCTACACACATTCATACATACATAAAAGATAAACCTTTTGCACATTTGCAATTTGCATTCACTTTGGCATTATTTCACTATAGCATTTCTTAGAATTTCTCACACGGTTCATAAACGAGTTTTAATATCTGACATTTCTTTTAAATAGTGTTGACTTCAAACCTTTAGGCAACTACCCCCAATATAGAGAAACTCATTCTCGAGCAGCGGCTATTAACATTACTTCAGGAAATGTGTAATCTCAATCTACTCAATCTACTTGCGACACAATTCACAAATTGAGTTATTTAGTTTAATTAACGTTATTTGTTGAACGTCGAAACCACTCGGTTAGTGAGCAATGCAGATTTTTCAACTGGATTTTAATGGAAACTTTATCAAATTAGCATTATTCAATTACCTAGAATCACTCTCAGTCTAATTGGGAAAACATAAAACTCAATCAATTATGCTTGTTCGCTATTAAAAGCATTTCAATTAAGAGCTGCACCTGCACTGGCGTTTTGATGTATATCAATTTACTATTGTGTAAACTTCAAAGCAACTATTCCTGGATCTGCGCTGAAATTGCATCCTAGCAACGGTCGAGAGCACTAAGGGGAGGCAAAATTGTTTTATCCTGCAGCCATGCAACAGCAGCAGTCTCATCATCATCATCATCATCATCATCATCAGCAACAGCAACAATGAAGCAGAAAGCAAGCAGGATGTGCTCTCTGTATATCCTGTCCGTGAAGCATCCTCTTGCATCAAATTGAGTTAACTTAAATGCCATCAAATGCGATTCTTCTGCTGTTCTTTCTGAAATCTAATTCAATCAAGTGTAGAGTGCGTCTGGGTTTCTGTGGCTGCAATTGCAAATGAAAGCACGCACTTTCCACACACATATACACGCACCTACACACACACCTACACACACACCTACACACACACAGACACACACATTCTGCAATATTCCATTTAGCCAGCCCCAGTTGCCGTTGGGGGAGCATGTGCTCATGCTCATGTCACGGTCATGGCCATTAGTCAGTCTGCCTGACAGCAACTACTGCCGGCTGACTTGGCTGGCTGCATTGTCGGGACAACGTCGAGTTCGTTCTCGTCATGCACTGACGCTTGCGCCACTCCACCCAACCCCCCACCATGCCCCACTGCCTCTCCGCTGTTCCCGCGAACAAACTGCAAGTATTCGCTTTGTTTCGTTTTTGCAGTCAATTTGTATGAACACTCTCTTATCTCACAGCCCATAAGAGCTACACACAGACACAGACACAGACACCGACACCGACACCGACTACAGCAACAAAACGGATGTTCTCGTGTGTCTAAAGTAAATTAAGTTTAGGTTTAAGCTTCAATATGTGTATATATATATCTATGATATTAGATAATACAGGTTACAGGGCATCTGTCTTTCTCTCTCTATCTCTATCTCGAGTGAAGCCGTCTCACTTTGTTATTGTTATTGTTATAGTTATTGTTATTGTTACTATTTATGGACATGGCTAAGCGCACCTGTGCCCCGAGGCGACGACATAAAAGATCTCGAACTGATCCGTTGCAGTCTTGAAATGCTTGAAATGACAGCACGAAATATTCTTAAACAAATACGTTTCGTTTATAAACAAACAGCACAAACAATAACACATTCACAATTCACAAATATTCAGCAGTTGGGGGTGTGGGGCGTGAGGCATGGGGCGTGGCTCATTGCTGTTTACGCAAATTGCGCAGCTTACGCGTATTTGGCAAACGACGTCGATGTCGTCGTCGGTTAGTCAGTCAGCCACTCAGTCATCAGTTATCGTGACCAGCGTACCCAAAACAACTGGCAACGTCAAATCGGATTCACTCCGATCTCTTCACGTGCCTCAACCGCAGTCGCCGCCGCCGCCGCCGTCGCAGTCGACGTTTACGGCACGCGCCTAAGCGTCTTTTAGCCGAACGCGAACTTTTTCGTATGGCAATCAGGTGCGGTTGCTTTAAAAAAATGCTTGGAATAAGTATTTCAATATCTTAGATTACTTACGCCTGTGGCATAGGTTCCAGATGTCTACTGCCCATTGCTGTAATGAATCCCAAATAATAAATCAAGCAATAAGCAAAAAGAAAACTACAATTGAAATAAATGCTAAATGTTATAGAAGATATGTACGTGCAATAATATAGTTAGAATATATCATTGATAAATGAAGTCGATTAAACCATATAAGGTTATAAATTGATGCATTGATACTTAATGCGAATAAAAACACACTCAGAAAGAATCCTCTGCTTGGCTTTAGAATTGACTTCTGCAAGAATTGAAAACTGCTTGGTGAAAACTGCGCCCTCAAAATAGTTAATGGCTATAAACTTGACTTGGATTTAGCCTTGTTTAATAATAGCTAATTGCGTCCGCCTGTTTCTGATCAAAAATGGTAATCAATTGCATTTGCTGTACTCTGTTTGTTGCTACTTACAGCGCCAATCAGCCGCCAAATCTAACAGTATTAGCAAGCACAACACCAACCACGCCCACCACGCGCCAACCCAAATCGGCAGCGGCATTGAGTCAAGCATTGTATGCAGTGAATGCCAGCGGCAGCAGCTGCGGCGTCGGCGGCGAAAACAGCGACCTGATGATCCGACTGCGCGAGTCGATTAAACAGAAGGAGGAGTTCCTCAAATCCCCGCTGCCCTCCGGTGTGCTGTCCGCCTCAGCAGCCTCAGCATCCAACGGCAACACATCGCAATCATCGCCACAGCAACACCAGCAGCAACAGCCGGTACAGCACTTTTTCCCATCGCACACGCCACCTGGTGCAGGTGGAGGAGGAGGTGGGGGTGGAGGTGGAGGTGGAGGCGCCGTTGTCCCAGTACCGCGTGTACGCCAGCAAGTGCTGATCAAACAGCAGCACCATCAGCAGCAGCAGCACCACCATCACCACCATCATCAGCAGCAAGTTGTTCTCGGCTACGATATGTACAATAGCTATACGGGCAGTAAGTTGGCGTCACGCTCCTTGGGAGCGGTGCCGTCACAGCAGCGACAGGTGGTTGTCAGTGTTGCCAGCAACAGTGGCAAGTACGCCAAGGAGTTGGACTACTTTGAGACGCTGCAGGAGACGGGCGTCACCAACAAAGTGTAAGTTCAGCCCCGAATATACCATATCCTCTAACAAAACAAAAAGGTCGTTAATCCTTTGTTGATGTACTCCTCTTAGATTTGAGAGCAAACTGGTCTCGCACATGGCCAAGGGATTTGATCCATTCAAGCCGTTGTCAATCAACACAAATGCCGCCTCCGAATCGACAAGTGCGTCCGTTGCGCTGTCCAAGAAACAGGGCGTTCTATACGAGTCACTGCAGCAGCATCCACTGCATCAGATGCAGGTCAAGTATCAGCAGAGCAGCAGCAGCAATACCAGCGCCGTCGATGGCCAGATTACAAGTCGCATGGAGCTGCACAAGGCAACGCTAGCGAATGCCACCATTGAGTCGTCGGTGCCATCGAGTAGTAAGCACATAGCACATAGCCAGCCAACACTAATCACTAATCAATTGTTGCTTTCAGAGTATAGCAATGTGTCGGAGCACCCACCGGCCGCCAACAGTTCCTCCTCCCATACTGTGGCCACATTGGCTGACATTGCCGAGAGCAGCGGTAAGTGCGCATTTTTACATACACACACATATATATGTAGAATAATACTAAGATTGCATTTTGCAGCCGCTGCCATTGTGGATGCTGCGTCTGTTTCGGGCAATGTGGTGCGCCGGTATAAGCCGCTGGCCTCCAGCTCCTTTGACGAGGGCAAGCCGGTGCGACGGATCTCATATCTGCGTGCCACCAACAACGAGGCAGAGTATCACGGCGAGCCGCCAACGGCAGATGGTGTTGCAGCAAGCAGTGTAGCGGCTGCTGCTGCTGCTGCTGCTGTTGCATCCATTGTGGAGCCGCACAAGACGAAAGTGCTGGTGGAAGAGCATCCAGATCCCACATACGATGTGATCGCTGCCACCGGCGGTGGCCATGAATTTATTGAGACACCCAACGGCTTGGAAGATGTGCGCCTCTCCGCTCTCCATGGCAGTCGGCGTGCCTCAATCAACAGCGAAATGCGCAGCAGGTGAGTCCCACTAGTCGCAAGTGCGACTCATTTCCCAACACAGATCCTGGACTAATTGCAATCATTCGCATCATCATCGCATAGCATTCATATTGATGCCGAGCTTAATGGCAAGTATGTGCCCAATGAGCTGGAGGCCTTTGAGACAGAAATCGAGATTAAGTCCTCCTGCATCAATGGCAAGGTAAGCCACACACCCACTTGAAAATTGAATTCACATTTGACCACATTTTTTGACATTTGTCTGCTGCAGCGCATGTCCGAGTATCGCTCGTGGCGTCAGGTCAAACTGGAGATTAAGGGCGATGTGTTGCGCATATACTCTGGCCGCCATGCCAAGTCGGACCAGAATGTAAGTAACGATTGGCAATTAAATACATACAATACAATACAATAGTGTGCAATACTACTTCGATATATATCCACTCCATAATCAAACAGGTGATAGAGCTTGATATTAGAAATTTTAAGTTTTTCGACGAGTCACAGGACAAAAAGAAATACTTGATACGCATGCAGTCGAAGCCCAGCGTCAGTGGCGCCCACTTGGCCACATTGGGCAATGAGCTCAATTTGGACGATGCCCATGAGAAGCTGACCTCATCGGGCAGCAGCAGCGCCGCCGAGCCGCAGACGCCGGCGACAACGGCACCATCCTGCGGCCCCTACACCGAAATCCTCTTCAAGACCAAGAGCAGCAATGAGATGAAGCGCCTCTTTGGCTTGCTCCAATGGAAGGATAGTCTCAACTATGATGATAATGTAAGTAATTACAAAATAAAGTCGCTCCCTTGATGATTTGATTCTCATACATGATTTCGTTCTTTTCGCAGGAACAGCCGGCAGCAGGCAAGCAGCTGGCTGAGCCCCAGAAAACAGCTGCCACGAGCAGTTATCTAGACGATGTCGCTGGCGCTGCGGACAGTTCACCGCTCAGCTCGCACTCGGGCAGTGGCGGTGGCATGCTGGAAGGACCAACGGCTGCATCCGCTACGGCGGTGGCTGTCACCAGTGAGTCGATATCGCCGGTGATGAAGTTGCGCAAGCCCTCCAACAAGCATGTACCGGATAAGGATTTGGGCTCACCAAAGTCAAAGAACTGGAAAGATTTGCTATTCCGACGTGGTGGTGGCAGCGGCGGCGGCGTCTCCCATGGCGACCTAGCCTCACCCTCTGGCTGTGTGAACAAGACGGGTGGCTCCATTGGGCTGCCACTGCGCGCCTGTCCAATGGGCAAGAATAACGCATACGTGCCGCATCTCGTTGAGGTCTGCACCAACATTGTGGAAACAAAGGGCTTGGGCGTGGTGGGTATTTATCGTATACCCGGTAACAAGGCAGCAATTTCCGAGCTATCTGAGCTGGTCAACACAAAGGAATTCCAGTTCGAGAGTTGTGCCACCGACGTCCGATGGGAGGATGTGAATGTGGTTAGCAGTCTGCTTAAGCTATTTATACGCAGCCTGCCGGATGCACTGATGCCGGCCAGTTTCTATATCAACTTCATTGAAGCGGACAAGAAAACTGGTATGGAGCGCATTGTGCTGCTCAAGGACATTGTCGAATCGCTGCCGCGTCATCCGTACGAGACAATGAAGCATTTGATACGGCATCTGTGCCGCGTCAGCGACAACTGCGAGGTTAATCGCATGGAGCCAAAGAATCTGGCCATTATCTTTGGGCCTTCCATTATTCGCACACCGAACGATACTCTGGAAACGGCCGTCAAGGATATGAAGCATCAGTGTCGCATTGTCGAGCTGCTTGTCACGCAGGTGAGTCACTCAATACCCCCCTTCCACCAATCCCTAATCCACTGTTTTTTTATCTCTGTTCTGTTCACAGTACGAGTATTTCTTCGAGGGCGGCAGTCTGCCGGATCTGGCCGATTTGAGCGGCGGTGCAGCGGCGCCTTGTCCCGCGCAACCACAGCAGACACAGGAAGATCAAACGAGCATGCTGCTGCACAATCTGTCCAAGATTGAGCGCATCACAGAGCGCGAGACGCGCTCCTCACGATTCATTCCGCAGCTACGTAGACGCACCCACGGCAAGCGCAGCGCCGTTAGCTCCGACACCTACTCTGGCGAGAGTGTTCTGGTAAGCGGCACTAGTCAAGCCAATTCCCAATGCACCAACACCAACATCACCACCACCATTACCACCACAACCACAACCAACACCACCACCACCACAACCACAACCATTCGCACCAACAACCAAAGACGAATGCAGCGCAAGGCTGTGCAAAGCATTTGCGATTTTGGTTTAATCCTGCCCGCTGTTCACTTTCAGTCGCTGGACTACGCCAAGGTATCAGCGAGCAGCACGACCAGCACCAGCAGCAGCTCCACGCTGCACAGCAGCAAGATAAGCACCACAAGCAAGCTGCTCTACTCAGCGATGGGCTCATCCAGCCATACCAGCACCAATCAATCCTCCGCGACGGCATCCACCACAGCCAAGGCGGCCACGACGAGCACCAAGAAGCGCACCACGGCCGGTTTCTTGTCCAGCTCCAGTTCGCGCAGCGCCCAAACACGCAAGGCCAGCCTCGATGAGAAGGACTCGGGCAGCGTGGACTCGACCGGCAGCATTGGCAAACATGAGCAGCAGCAGCGGAGCAGCGTTGATATCTCCGTACTGCTTACGGACGATGATTCCAGCAGTCGTCTCAGCGACACAGGTAAACACAGACACAGACACAGCACAAACCAATGGCATCCAAGAATATTTAAGACTACAAAGCATGCTCATATTACTGCCAGATAATAATCTAAAAATAATAATAACACAAATTCAAATGCTTCGTTTTATGTTTTTGGTAATTTTCAGGTTCCATGTCGCTGACCACCATTACGGACACGTTGGACAGCAAGCTGCGTAATTTACGTAGCGGCTCGGAGTCAAACGATGAGAACGGTTCACCTGAATTTCCCAAGAATCGTCGGCATACGTTGGGTCAGCCGCTGCACTTGCACTCCGAAAACATTCCGTATGCGGATGAGTCGCCGGAGCGACTGTTCCACAACTTTTGTCCATTGGACGCACCACATTCGCTGCTCTTAAGCCGCTCGTGCACGGCCACCAACAGTTTGGGTGAGCCCAAAGAAGATAAACACCACAATCAGCAGCAGCAACTGCAGCAGCTAATGATGAAGCCAACGGTGGCACCGCTCCCTGCCAGCCTGCTAAAGGCGGCACACAAATTGCAACATTCGGCAACGGCGCCCATCCATCAGGGCAGCTCAACGGCGCCGGCTAGTGGCGCTGCCACACCCACCGCCGGCACTGGTACCGGTTCGAGCAGCGCCTCAACGCCACTAGCCGGTACGCCCAGCTCGCAAATTGGTGGCTCCGTCGCCCAGCGCAATTCATACGGCAGCAAGAATCTGCGATTTAGCAGCTCCCTGGCATATGAGCGGGGTGGCGTTGGCGCCGGTTCTGAGGATGACTCGGAGGGCTCCACGACGAGCGATCCAAAGGAGAAGCTACTAATGGCCGCACCATCGCCGTCGTTTTTTCTCGAGCGCTACAATAAAAAGCGGCGCGATCATCGACTCTTTCGGAGCGCCAGCTTCAACTGTCGCAACTACTCCACACGACACATGAGCAGCAGCAATTCGAGTGCGGCAGCTGCTGCCGCTGCCGCTGCAGCCGCCTGCTGCTCCCCAACGTCATCGTCATCGTCTTGGGCACATGCCGCCGCTGCGCTGACCAAGGACGAAAAGACTGACATGAATCTGACCAAGAAGCGGCAGATACAAAACAAACAGAATCGCTCGATTAAGCGACGTCACACGGTTGGCGGACCGCACGATTATGCGGCCAACAGTGGCGGGGGCGGTGGTGGTGCTGGTGGTGGTGGTGGTTCAGCCGGGCACGATTTGACTGCCATTAACTATAATCATCACAATCGACACCATCAGCAGCAGCTGCTGAAATTGGGCGGTGGCAGTGGCGGTGGCGGCAGTGGCGCAGCTGCCGAAACGACAACCACAACGACAACAACAACGACAGTGTTGCGCAGACTGGGCGCACCGCCGGCCAGTGCCAGTGCAAGTGTTAGTGCGAATGTCAGTGGTGCTGGCGTTGTCACCGATGCCAATGTCGCGTTGCCCGTTTCTGCAAGCACTGTGGCCAACAATAGCACAACCAACAACAACAATAACAACAACATTTCACCACTTAGCGATGGCAGCAATGGCAACAGCTCTGGTGGTGGTGTTGCTGGTGCTGGTGGTGGTGGTGTCGGCAGCGCAGGCAGCAATAGCAGCTCATCAAATAACAGCAGTAGCAGTGTCGGCGGGGGCGGTGCTGCTGGCGGTGATCAGGTGCTCGAAGTTGGCATCAGGATCAAGAACATAAATCGTGCGCGGTACTAAAAATAACTTTAATAAATTGGCAGCGAATCAGGTGCGTCAACATACAACAATTATCTTAATTACTATCCTAAAGCTAACTTGTGAATTTTCAACTCTTGCAGAAATAATCAAAATCACAGCGAAAGTATAATCTGTTGTAAGGAAGAGAGCGAGACATGCGCGCGAGAGAGAGAGAGAGAGAGAGAGACAGGAGGAAAGGAATCGAGCGAGCGAGCGAATGTGTGAGAGATGGAGATGCAAACATATATTGGAAAAATCGTAGTATTAAACCGAGTTATATATATATATATATATATATGTATATATATATATACATAACAGCATAGTTGTATGCAATATAATTATGTTCAGGCAAAAGTATTTATATCAACATATTGTGGCTCAAGCGCACACACCACATTCACCACACATACGAGGGAACAAAGAAAAAGCAAAAGTTTTCATGCAGCAGATAGAGTCGGATAGAGTCGTAGAAAGAGACGGATAGATAGAGAGAGAGCGATAGAGAGAGAGAGAGAGAAATATATACATAACTATTTTGTAAAACGTATACAGAGTACGAAATATGCTTAACCCATATACATACATACTTATAATTGTAATATAATCATACACACACACACGCATACACACATATACAAACAATTTGATACGTATATACATACGTATATAAGCTAAAGTTGGCGCAACATACTTGATAGCCATACATAATAGTTTATAGCATATATATATATATATATATATATATATATATACACACATATACATATATATATTTATTTACACGTATAACCAAACCATGTCGCCTGTACAGTGCTTAAATGAGACACACACACACATATATAGATGAAGAGATAAATAGATGGCTACGTCTTCTGGCGACATGCAACTGCTTGTGTATATGCAACTGCAACATATTTCAGCGGTCATGTATGTAATTTGTACCTGTACCTGTCTATGCGATGCATAATGCATAGATGCAACAGTTTTTTTGTTGTTTTCTCGTTTTTTTTTTCTGTATTATTTTTGGTGCCTTAATTGATTTGCTTTAAAATTTCGTTAGTGACATGATTTAGGGAACACTGGCCAAATCGGTGCTCAATTGGCAATGGACAGCACGTATATGTATTGTACATATATATATATATATATATATATATATATATATATAGACAGACGTATATGCTATTTGGTGCTCGCGTGTCATTAGAATTTAAGAATCCACCACGTTTTTGTCATATATTAACCGTTAGTTGGCTGGGCAATCATCAGAAGACGTGCAGCCGTTTTGTTGTTCACAGGCGACACAAAAAAGAAAAAAACGGAAGAAAAAAAAACGGTGCAAATACGCTAAGATACGCAACAATCTACAACATTTCGTTCAAATATAATCCCTTCGGCAAGCATATACATAAATGTATTTAAATATTTCAGCAATTGCTGCATAAGTGTGAAGAGCATAACATATATATTTTTTTGAATGTGTGACAGAAGTGAGAGAAGAAAGTTCGAAACGCATACAAGAATCCATAATAATTAGCATACTTACAAGCATACATACCTATATACAATATACAATATACAATACAATGCATACATACATATTCTTGTGTAGTTGTATATTTTTTGTATTATTTTAAGTTGAATGCAACACAGAAATATATGCAATTAGAGTTAAGTACATATATAGCCTAGAGTTGTATGTAGTTTTATATATACACAAACACACACACACACACACACGCACACACATACATGCATATGTATATATACACACACAATTGAATATTTGTTCTTATACAGGATAAATCATTTTATATGTGTATATAAACACGCATGCATATTGTATAGATTCCTTTTTTTTTTTTTTGTATATACCATTTTAATTTTATTATTTTGATTAATTAAATGATTTCTCCTATATATTTTTTTTGTAACTCTACTTTTACTTATACTTATTATGTTTTGTTATCGCAAAAACAGAAAAAAAAATTGTTGCAAAATGTTAGAGAACCAAGCGCGTAACGTTGCTATATATATTATATTATATTACATATTATTAATATTTTTTATTAGTTTTAGGTAGTTATTTTTTAAAATTGTATTTTTTTTAATAAATGTGAATTTATAAAAGCTACAATGACGACACAATAAAAGAAATCGTAAGAATACTTGTAATGCGATAATAATAAGCATTTTTCGATGTACACTGGGCACTGCTGGGAAAGATTAGTCAAGCCATATCTCTATGGCATTTGACGGGACTTACATATCTGAACTTGTGGGAGGTAAGAATCGATTTACACAATGTATTTTGTGTTTTAGATGACCTCCGTATGCAGTTTGATGGAAGATGTCCTTGCGATGCTAGCCCATCTGGTCCTTTAAAAATCTGTAAGGATTTGGCAGATGTGGGCCTATATTTCTGAAAGTGTAATTTTTCTGCAATTATTATTCATCTTAAAAATATGCTATTAAAATTGTAATGCTCACCCTAAAAATGTATATATTTATAGCCCCCAATAATACACAATTTCCACTTATTATAATATGTTCGATTTGTTCAATATATTTTTTCGTATCTGTAGCGCATCTCTATTTTCTGCAACAAAAAATATCTTTATAATAAACTTACACAAATAAATTTATATATTTAAAAAATCTCATTAAATGCATCAAAAAGATTATTTAGTTACATATTTTATACATTTTTATATTAATAATACTTAATCTAAGACAACTAAACATGAAAGATAAAGATACAAGATTTTGTATATACATATAGGGTTACAGAATCTGTTCAAACATATATGGAATGCTCTTAAAGCTTGGCTTGTGGTCCCGTGCCTGATATCTTGTAAACTATATGGTGAGCAGCATCGTAATGGGGATTACAACTCTGTCGCACTCGCTTCAGCCAGGCGCGTATCTTGGGATACTTAATGCGCACATCATAATCGGCCATGCCTATTGCGGGAAAGGATGAAAGGTCGCACTGAGTTGGATAACAAGCGGAATAGTATTACTGGGTATTACTACTTACGCGTCTGTTCAATTTCACAGGCTGCAAATATGTCGGCGACAGTGAGCGTGGGTCCGGTAAGGAACTCTTTCTTGTTCAGCCACACCTCCTCGACAATGTCCAGATTACGCTCCATATGCATGCGCAGCGTCTCGATCTTTGCCTCGGACGGCGTACGTCCCGTCAGCAGCGGATCCAGCCAGATGGTGCGGAAATAGAGAGCACAAGTCACGCGAAGCGTGATATGATGCCATTCGAGGAACTCATCGACGCGCGCCTGTTCCACAAAATACTTGGGATACAAGTGCTCCGGAATCTTGCCCTTGGCGCTCAGGTAACGCAAGATGGCAATGCTCTCTCCCAGCTTATAGCCATTGTCATTGATGCAGGGCACACGCTGAAAGCGATTGATGTTCTGCTTAAACTCATCGGTCAGATGTTCGCCTGCCAAAGTGTAAAGTGCAAAGTCACAGGCATTATTATAAGATAACACAGAATAGATAAGGTGTATTGACCACCAACCGTTTCGGAGTGCCACAACACAATCCTCATACTGCATGCCACTCAGCCGAAAGATGATGAACAGCGACCGCGAGGGCTGCGACATCAGATCATAATAGAAGCGCAGCGAAGACATCGTTTTATTATTGCTAGTCCGATTTCTCTGCGTAACTGTGGAACAAGAATATGCGTAACATTAATTGTTTATAAACAAAACAAACGGAAAGCGATACTTAATCCAAATAGGCCGGTGCAAAGATCACTTCGCACTCTACGCACCTTTGACCAGAGAGAAAGAGACAGAGAGATGGAGTCCAAGAATGAACGTGCGACCAACTGTCGGAACAAGACCTACTCGCCTGAAGCACAGTTGGTTACTAAACCAAACCACCACACTCGACAACTATTCGCATATGCGAAAGCACAAAAGCTTAAGCTCTGTCAGCGCTTATGGAGTGAGCTTTGGCCTCCCACATTTTCTCTTTCTCTCTCTCCCTCTTCACTGCTGAAAAATAAAACTTTGCATGCCTTGTGCTCTTTATGAAAGCTTGTATTTCAAATGAAGCATTTCTCACACTCTTTTGAAAGTGCATTGTTGTTACTTTATATTAAATTACTACAACTCTTTTTTGCAAATGGTAGCAGAGTATATAAACCTTGATGTTTTTGGTACATATGTTTTCTTGCACTTCAAACTCATTTTACATTGATAAAACTGAACCGATGTTAAGCCATGAGAGAAAAAATGCTTCCTCTAAATCAATAATATATCTTAAATTGATGATTTCTTCGAATTGTCTGCCACAAGTCACAGTAACGTTGCAAGTTACCTAGAAGACTTCGAACTTCTATAGCCAGTTTGGTCATGGCTTGTCTTTTAATGTAATATGTATTTCCATATATTTCTATGTAACTTTAACTTTGAATAATCTTAGTAGTGTTTATCATAAGTTTCACTTACGTCGCGGATTATATGCTGGACCATCATCGTTGGAGAGACCAATTAAACTGGCTAATTGTAGCGACATGTTCTTCACTAGCTGAAAATTAAGAACTGCACAAATCGATTGTAGCTGCATTCTTTTATACGATTCATTGATCAGGCACAATACAAATACGAAATGAGAGTATCTCGCAGATAAACAAAGCGCATATGTTGTGCAGATATGGGGTGCCACCTCGAAAGATTATACGGTAAGTATTTACGGATTTTGCGTTGGCAACCGCACCGGCTTGTATTATGGATTGGCTTCTTGTTATCTTATGTGCCGGGACTGCGAATTGATTATTGATTATGGTTTAGATTTTAGGTTTTTTACAATTTCTTTGAATTATTCGCGCTCCCATTTTATTGAAGTGTATCGAGTATCTATGTCAAGTACCTGTGCACTGTATCTTAAGTAAGTCAAACTTGACTGATCATTTAGAATCGGTTGATGTATCGATAAATACTTTTGTTGATCTTGTTGTTGAGAACTCTTAACAATGCATTGATTGGCATACCACCCAACAATCAACGATAGATTAACCTTGGAACTGACTAAAGAACTGACTACATTCCACATTGCGATGTCGTTAAAAACGTTTCCGGTCGCCCAACTATATATGCAAAATAGATATACAACAATGGTGCACAATTAAATATTTTATAATTTTAGCCGAAATTTTTAAGATATAAATAATTAATATATTATACAAACTAAGGTATGTGTATGCGAAGCACAATCAAATTGTAAATTATTCTTCAAAATGCAAAATCGAAACAAAATAAGACCACAAAAACTATTAATTGGTTAATAATTGTTGACTTTACGTAATATTTGATAAAATAATTAATTACTCAATAATTCAATTGGTAATTACTGCATAATCTGCACGATTATGGTATCAATTCTAGCGCTTACTTTTAACTGATTGTTTATTGATTATTTTCATTTATTGATCGATAAGTTACGATTGGTACAGATCTTATTGAATTTTGCAGGCAATGGCTACAAATGCGATTGATTTTGATTATTTGTTTTACATACAGACATATATATATATATACATATATATATATATTTATATTTTTATATTTGTAAATGTATGTATGTATATGTATAGGGTTGTACATACATGTTGTATACATAATATATTTTGTATTTTTCACTTGATATATAATTTATTTTTTAAATAATTGCACTCTACTTGACTACAAACATTGAATAATTTATTGGTTTCATTTATAGTTACCAGCTCGGCAAAAAAAAAATTACACTTCTTTCTAATAATATTTACGATCTGAAGTCTGAAATGCTGATTTGTGTTAGAACAGTGTATCAGTTTCACTTTGTAGTCTTTTGCGTCATCGGCCCCTTCGCTCAATAGTTGGGGATATGGAGAGAACATCTACGAACATTTTCATAAAATATACATAATAACAGTCATAGTTACAGTTACAGTTACAGTTACAGTTAGAATTAAAGTTTTGGATTACATCTTAGTACATTGAAATGTATGTATAGATATATACACATAAATATGCATATATGATATATATATATATATATATATATATATATATAAATAAGGTATTTATGTTTCATTTTTTGTGCCTCTTGGGAGAATATGTGGCATTTACTTATCTTTTTTCTTTTCTTTTTTGGCAAAACATAGATAAAACAGCTACAACTTCTATTTAAACACTTTATATTCGTGATTCTGCTTATAAATTAAACGATTATTGACTTATTTGTTCTCAATGATCATCTGCAGCTGTAAAACCAAACTGCGAGCCAGCTGGAGCACAGCTTGGGCATTATGTCGTTCGGCCATTTCTGAAATCATAAAGATATATATTTATGGTGGATGGGGAGGTATTTATGGTGGGTTGCTATTACCATTGAAGAATTTGATGACATCCGTAAAGTCCATACTGTTGGACAGAATGATGTCGCGATAGGTTTCGAGCAGAGCCAGCGCCAGGAAGAGCACAAAATGACCGGAGGCAATGTGCTTGGCCGCCCAGATGACCTCCCAGGTGGCAAAGACATCGTCATAGATGAGCTCGCGCTTAAAGTCCAAGAGGAACCAGCGGTAACAGAAATAGAAGTGCGTATAATCGCCATTCGAGTCCATCAAGTCGTACATCTCCGAGTCGAGTATTTGAATGAGTGAGCTGTGAGCAATCAAATCGATTATGATTATGAATACACATTGATAGATCCATAAATAGACAGATAGATAGATAGATCCATAAATAGACAGATAGATAGGTAGATAGATAGACAGATAGATAGATAGATAGATAGATAGATAGATAGATAGATAGATAGATAGATAGGTAGATAGATAGATGAGTTCCACTCACCGCATATTGGCAAAATGCATGTCCATGGCACCACCGCTGGGAAAGTTCTCGATCATGCGCTCCATGAGCTTGCAGAAGCAGCTGTAGCTGAGCGACTCATCATCGAAGATGACCAGCAGCGGAGCGACCAGATCGCACATGCCCTGCATGTAGCCAACGTCCAGATGCTCCCACACATACGTGGATATCACATTGCGCAGCTTGTCCAGATTCTCGTTGGCAAAGTACCAATAGTTGCGATCGCAGCGCTGCACATCCTTCTCGATCCGATGCAGATTCAGGCCAAACTGCTCCAGCAGCTCGCTCTGTCGATTTGGTGAGGGAGTTTTAGAGTAATATCAGATTTATCATATGAAGAATGCTTTTCGTCTACAAAATATGTTATTCAATTCTACCAAATTATAATAAATAATATTTGAAACAACATTTCACTTTTTGATTCGAATCAAGGATAAAATCGATAAATATGAATTGGAAAGATGGATCAATGACAATATTTGATAGAATCTTGCCTCTGTACATATATATATATATATATATATATGTGCTTCTTATTCGGATGTGTGACAAAGTAAGAAAGGTAGATGAGCCCTTTCATTCTCATGTGCCTTAGCCCATCTCTTTCTGTTAGGGAATTTGTGGCATATTTAGAAATACTTACACTGTAGATGCCACCATTGGAGCTGGCTGGGGAGGCGCAGGCAGATTTTGGCTGCTGCAGCGCATCCAGATTGGGCGCATTGGCGCCGTTCTCCAGCTGTTCGGTCAGCGGTGGCATCTCGCTATTGGCACCAGACTTGGGACTGCGCTCCCAGTTGGCAATATCCACCGAAGCATTCGTAATGATGACAGCTGCCTGTTGCTGCTGTTGCTGTTGTTGCGCCGGCAATTTGGCAGCCTCCTCGTCGTCGGGCAGCTGTGCCTGCAGATCATCGGCGCTGAGAAATTCCGGACTGAGTACGCTGCCGGGTTGTGGTGCACCTCCGACTGTCTCATAGGAGGATGTGGTGGAAGTTGAGCAGCTTGTCTGTCTCTCTTTTTCCTGCACCTTGGCTGCATTTGCATCTATTTGTTTTGGCGGCTGGTGGTGCTTCTGCTCCAGCTCTGCGCGCTGCTCCTCCTCCTCAGCCTCCTCCTCATCTAAGTCGTCTAGGTTTTCGTCAACATGACCGGAATCAGTGCTAGTTTTCATTGCACGTGGAATGGGCTTTACGCTCAGATGCGAGGCACTAACAACCGATGCCTCCTGCTGCAGCAGCTGCTGCTGCTGCTGTCGCTGCTCATCGTCAAACTCTAGATCGCCCGGATCGGAAATATCCGATATGTCCTCAAACACCTCGTTCTCGAGCTCACCGCCAGCATCCAGGTCCGCAGCGCGAACCGTTCGCTCATTGCCACTGTTGCTACCCGAGCTTAGTTTGGCCACAGCCCGTGCCGTCTTCTCTTTCTCCCGCTGCTGCACAATGGCATCCACGGCCAGCCATTCGCTCATTGTGGTCTCGTAGTAGTGCTTGCATGTCTCGTCCTGTTTCTGTCGCTCCTCCCGTGTGGTGCCAAAGGCATAATGCCCCAACAAATATGGCCACACCTCTTTGCGCAACTCCGGTTGTATGCCACCAAAATAGATGAGACGATAGAACTCAACGGGATTCTGCAGCAGCCCATCCGCATGAAGCAGTTCCCAGCGCTCCTTAGTCAGCCCCTCCTCGTCTGCTTTCACTTTTGAATGGGAGAAGCAGAGCAGATTGCAATCATTAATATGTATTTATCATATATTTAATACTAATAATACTCTTTCAAAGATATTCCATCATTTACAATTCAATTTTTTAGAAACTTACTTTCCGGAGTTATGCGGCCGTGAACAAGTCCGGATAAGTGCGTACGCACAGTGGATAGATGGCGACAGTAGGCCAGCCAGCCGTAGAAGGCGCGCGAGATGATCTGGCGACGCATCGTGGAGCAGACCATCTCGATGCTGGTGTTCTGGCTCTGTTGCTGCAACAGAGGCGACTCCAGCGGATGCTGATCGATGGACAGGCTCTTGTTGGAGCAGTCGCTGCTGCCAGTGGTCGAGCAGCTACTCAATTGAGCACGCCTCGGAGTGCTACGGACAAAGTCGAGTATCGAATGTGTGGCAGCTGAAATATAAACATAATCACATCCATATAGAAGTAGATCGAAAGAAATCGGGCTATAATCTATTGGGAGTCCTACCAAACTCTTCGTGGCGACTCTTGCTGACAATGCGAAAGACATAATCGATTGGCGTTTCATCCACCGACTCCATGACGGAGGGCAGAATTCGACGGCGCATACTTTTGGGCCAGAGAAACATTTTACCAATGCCGCGTTGCGACCAGAGTGGCGGATCGAGCTGTCCATGTGGCAACAGACCCGTCTCCAGGCAGCTGAGAAACTGCTGCATATGCCCGCCCTCTGGGAAGTGTATGGGCGGACGCTGTACGCCATCCTGGCCAACGAGGATAACGATGCCACCGCTGTCCTCACCGCGACTCTGGTGACAATGCACATATACAATCTCGTCCACATTTATATTGAGCGCATATGCCCAGTAGGCCTCCTTATCGATTTCATCCTCTTCGGTATCGTTGTAGCCGTTCATTAGCTGATTGGGCGTCCACTTAATGGTCAAAGTTTGGATATGCTGATGCAGACTCAAATAGCCTGCCATCAGCTCTACTACATCCTTGGGCAACACGTGCACATTGTTCTTGCCATAGAGCAGTGTGGCCTTAGCATTCTGATGCAGTGACTCCACATAGTCCTTGGCCACAGAGCACGAGGACATCGATTTGAACGAACAGCTGCTGGCATCATCCGAGCTGGTGTTCAGACTACGCTTGAAGTTAATAATCGGTGGTCTCGAACAGGTGGACGAGGAACGACGACAGCTGATCCGATGACGTTGCACCTGAAAAAAATTAATGGTTTCTTAACTCAATTTAAACATGTAATCGCAATTAAATAAATAAGGCCTTAAGCCAACATGTCCATGTGCAGAAAGAACAACAGATTATCTGGAAAGGATTGTGAAAATGCTAAGGCAAAAATGTTTTGTTTTTCAAGTAACTAAAACCATGGCATATCTTAAGAATGATTTTCAAGGTGTAGATTTCTTTTTGCTATATATATGTAGCTGGGTTGCTCAGAAGGCTTACCAGCTCATCGGCATGCGGATCTGTCCAGTAGTGATCTGCAGTTTTGGCCCGTGTAAAGTCCAGGGCACAGGGGCCGACCAGCAGGGAGCTGAGTATGGAGCCATAATCGGGATCGGCCACCAGGGAGTCGCGATCATAATAGCTCTGAGCATTGGTCACCAGATACTCAATGATCTTGTTCAGACGCTTCTCAAACAGGGCCAAGCGTATCCAAAGATATCTGAAAGCAATGATGATATTACCACAATGGACAAAATGGACTAAGATGGGCTGCTCCTCACTTCATGGTTGCCAGCGACATGCTGGAGTTACTGGCGCTAACGGAGACTGATGAGGCCGTAACGGATGTGGAACCGGAAGCGGATGATGTTGTTGCGTTCGTGGTGGACATGGAGCTGTTGCTGCCCTTCTTGAGCATGGGCGGTCGATTGAAACTGTCGCTGCTCGAAGACGAACGCTTATTGGGATCGCTGGCCTCAATTGCCTGCACCATTTTGCTTATATGCTCCGCCTCGGCACATGTCTTGGCTATCTTGTGCAACAGTGCTGTCGTCGACGAGGTCTTGAACAGGCCGAGAGCACGTCGTCGTAATCCCTGGCTGAGGCAAGTCTCGACGGCGGCGCAGAGCGAAGTCACCGAGCTGCTCTCCTCGTGCACGTACTTCTTGGTGACCGCCTCCTCCATCAGTTGCTTAACCTCCTTCTTAACGCTGGCAATAAGCCGTTCCTTAAAGTCGGCGACATCTGTAAATGCCAGCGGGCAAACACACCGAAAAGTAAAAAAAAAAAAATGAAAATGAAAATGAAAATGAAAGAAAAGAGTCAACATTAACGTTCGGCTTCCAACGGTGCACGCTACGCGAATCTCATAAAAGCAAAACCCCCGCGGGGTCTTAAAACAAAATCACAGTAATGACGCCCGTTTGCTACACTACCAGCTCCTCTTTTCCCCCTTTTCCGCTCTCTCGACATGCCGCCATTACGCACTGAAAGTCAATATGCTCAACATGTGCCCCTCCGTCTTGTTGGCCATCTTCCACCTACCCCAACAAACCAAGGAAATTAAAACAGGCGCCCCGTGTGCCCAGTCGCTGACCAGGGTACAGCCTTACTTAACTTCAGCTACGAATGCTAATGGCATTTGCACTCAAAGTTCTTGATGGCCTCCGGCTACTTATAATTTAATTTTCATTAATTGTTTTCCACATCTTCCGCACCCCTCCTCCTCCTTTAGAAGGAAATTCAAGTGGAGCTGAGCAAAAAAATAAATATAAAATGACTATATGATTTCATACAATTATCTATCTAAGTAAATACATATATTTTTTATTACTTGAAGATCTCTGTTCATAATTGAATTTAAAATTGGAGGAGAGACTCACAGCGTTTTTTCATCGCCTTATAATCATTTCGTTGTAACTGTGAAACGAAGATAGCAGCTAAATCGGCTTAATCAAAAGAAAGCATCCTGCGGCAGGTGAAGCTGACTACTAATGCCAAGTCAAGATAAACAGCTGTAATTATATATATATATATTGCCATGTGCCATCTAGTTTTCGTGGCTTACTGCTTCAGATTGTGGCTTAAGATAAAAGGCTGTGTTTAATGAAAAGATTCCACGACTGGAAAATGAAATGTCTCTGAAATTCGAGCAGACAGCAAATGGGACAAATGTGCAAGTAAAGCTGTGATTATGGCAAGTCTTTAACTTAATCATCACAAGAAATGCGAAGCGCGCAACATGAAGCACACATTTGTTAAACATATTTACACATTCCCATATTTATGCAGGCAGGTTGCAAGAACGAAAGCACACACACTGTGCTTGTGCCAGACATCTGTGTGTGTGTGTGTGAAGACGCAGCTGTTGTTGCCGCCAGTTCAGCGGACACAGCCAGCAGGGTGCTGTGGCCATTATGTGCCGGTCTGGCGACAATACGCTGTCTGGCATGCATTAAACAGCGGGCAGGGAATGCGTAACGAGTGCAACTCGCTGCTGGATAGCTGGCTGGCGTCACTTGCTCCACCAAACACAATGGTGATTGGAGTGGGAAAAGTGGGTGGGGTGTGTGTGTGTGTATGTGTATGTGTATTGTGTATTGTGTATTATTTATTGTGGGCTGAACAATATAAGTTAACTGCTCTTTTATCATATGCACATTTGCCACAGTTTTCTATGGCTCGTAATTAGTATTTAAATGTGAGGTGTACATCAGCGGCGAGAAAAGTCAAGAAAAGACAAAGTTATACAGCCGCAGCAGAGGACAAAGTTTTAATAAACTCATTTTCAGTGAGATGTCAATAATAATATGCGTATAATATATGTACGGGTGTGTACATATTGAGATGGAGAGAGATGCTACTTTTTGCATTTGAAATATTTATATCTCGTATATATTTTGTATACATTTATTTTGTTATTTGTCCATTCTGCGAGCGAGATTGAGGAGAAAGATGAGGAGAGATAGATCATGCGTACTTTTGCTACTTTTTGCATTTTAAATATTTATTTTTCGTCTATATTTGTTGTGCCGTATGATTCTTTGGTTTGTTTGTCTATTTGCCTGCCTGTTTACGCATAAAATGAGTGTAAATAACACATAGATAATTGTCGGTTACTGCCAATGTCATGAGCACAAAACTTTTTGCAATGACATTGGCACGAGGACAAACAACGGTCCACGGTCCCTCAGCTGGTGTCGAGGGGTAGTCAGTGAGCCGTCTTCTATGTACAAGTTCGAATACCCATGGGCAACATGTGGCGTATGTGTAATGTTGGAAAACTTTGTGTTTAAGGCAAGTTTCTTAAAGTTACAATCTTGCACTGAACATGAGATGTCTGTGTATAAAAGCTACAGCTTTAATCAAAATTTATTTAATTCGAAATTTGAAATCTGCGCATTTCAATTGCAAACCGAGGCTAAATATCAATTTAACTAGCGGCCATTGTAAATTCATTAGGCCACAAAACCAACATGGCAAATTGATGACTTAAAGGGATTAGCATTGTATCAGCCCCTGCGGTAAGGATTTTACCTGGCACACGGTCACAAGCACGCCAAATTTGAAAATAAACCTGCATAAGTCTATTTTAGCTCTATTTTAATTTTATTATTTATTATTTTTATATTTTATTTTTTTGTTGTTGTGCATCAAGGGACCGGAAACTCGATTGGTTATGTATTTTGGGCTGCTGCTCGCTGTGGCCGCAAATGATTTGACCCTTGAATGTCATGACTCAGCACGAGTTCGCTGTGGATTTCGATACGGCTGCCAGGTGAACACATCAATTGCGTTGCTCTTAACAAAAATGACACCAATTGACGCTGACAGTCATTGTTTTAAGTTTTCACAATTACCTTTATAAAATACAAATATAGTTCTGATATAAATCAAATTATCTGCAAATCAATTACTCATTTTTGTGACCAATCCAAATCCTAATCACTGCGCGAATACAAAAAGTAAATAGTACACATACTGTATTTTTGCAGTGTATGCGTACACATAGACAGTGTAAACATATCTATATGGAGCATGTCTAGGTATAAAGTCCATGAATTTCTCGTTTAGCAAACGTGAATTGCAATATCTGTTTATTTGCCTCATGAGTTTTATTAAGCTGACAACTATTTTCATGGAATGAAGATAAACACTTAATTAGACACAAACAGGCACAGGCAGAGGCACAGGCAGAGACAGAGGCAGACGCACAAGCTGAGGCGCGAGCAGAGGCGCAAGCAGAGGCGCAAGCCCCGGCATAGAGACCCAAGGTTGTGAGCTAGATTTGGGTGCGTGTTCCAGCTCTTGGGATCACACAACAGATGTGTTATTTTTGCTATTTTTGTTGTTGTTGTTGTTGTTGTTATCGCTATTGTTCGTGACTTTGTTTCAGTTGTGCGTTGCTAAATGAGCTTCATCTACTATCAGCAACACTAACAAACAACCCTAACAACAACACGAGCAACAAAAATAATGGAGACAAAGCCCGCATGAAAATGTCCTAACAAAGACCCCACACACACACATACACACACACACACACACATACACACACACACACGCACACCACTACATGCGTTTACGAAATGCGAGTGTGTGCGTACATTAATTAGAGCCAAAAGTATGTGTGTGTGTGTGTATATTATATACACATGTATATAAATGTATTTGTACATATAGCATGAATGTATGTATATATGCTTCCATTTCATATATGTGTATATGTGTGCGGCACACAAACTGCATCACTCACGAAAAATGTTGCCTACATTTTTGGACATTTTTATGTATATATGTACATATTTTTTGGAAAATATCAGGGCGACACCTGTTTGTAGCGTAAGGTCAGCTTTTTGGAAATGTCAGCGAGTGAATTTAATTAAATTGCTGCTCATCCTTAACAGCAACAACAGCTGCCGGCGCATGTTTCCCAGAGTGCACTTGGGGCACTGATTTTCTGGCTCATTTCCATTTTCAACTAATTACAAATCCACTTCCTTGCTGTGTATGTGTGTGTGTGTGTGTGTGTGTGTGTGTGTGTGTGTGTGTGTCCCTGTGCCTTTGGATATGCGTGGGCAGGCTGCAATTCCAATTTAATTTCGCTTGATGCACAATCAGCTCTGGACATTTAGTTCAGCTGAAGTTCATAGGTCAAAGTGCAGGCTGCACTACAGCGAAAAAGTTTAAGTTGCAAGCACAAGTTTCAGAAAGCAATATATGTTGTATGTCTTCCAAAACTGACTTACACAACTTTTGCCAATTTGCAATATGATATGCCATCGGAATTGAATTTCTAAGAACTTGCCATTCTTAGTAGCTGCACCTGACGACAGTGTTCTTTCCATCAAATTCAAGTCATATCGGTAAACATCTTAAGGCGCCACTTAGAGGCAAGTTCTGGGCTAGCTGGGCTACTAAAGCGACTTACTTAATACTAAACGGTTAATGTATTGTCTTCAATATACGAAACCACATGCAAAAAATAACATACAACATTTCTTGCAGTATTTAATAAAAAAAGAACCAGTAAGAATGCTCACGTTGAGGAGGGAGGTCGACTGGGCAATACCCATTCAAATCAATCATCTATAAAATTTATAAAAATAAAATCAAGTCATATACATTCTCGAATGGAAAGATATGTACTTAACATTTATTTTGCTATCGAAAGGCGATTTATGTCAATATTCACGAAACTACGAAAGTTATCTGATCTGATTTCTCAAAATTTCATCTCTATCTCTTTCATCATAGTCTCTGAGATTGGCGTAATCATATTGGGGGGCACAACTTCATTAGCGGTTTTCAATGGGCTTAGGGTATACAAAAAAATAATGCATGAAAGAAAAAATCTGCGATTATTTAATAAAGAAATGCTTAGTTACACGATCAACTTTGAGCAATCATAATAGATTTAGTTAAATACCACAAGTATACATAGCAACATTAACAACTTTCTACAATCATAATCTAAATACCACAAAGAAATATAAATATGTAAAAAATATCTACTTATATATTTATGTGTGTATCTAGATATATATTACAGTTTTCTGTATAAAAAGAGAAAACAAATTTCATTTGAATCGTAATGAAATTTGATAGATAAAGCAATTGATTTTTTCTTTCTTGATTGAATTAGTTTATCACTTTTTTTTTGTAAAAAATTTGTATTTGCACCGCGTGATATCAGCCGCTTTTTCTATTGTTAACTTTGAGGTAGACGCTTTTTTTGTAAATTGTATCGAAATGTATTGTTGAGTATTTGATTATCAACCAGTCGAGCACTTAAGTGTTGTTCTGCTGCTTGTGCTGGAAGAAAACTGTCGACTGAGCAGTAGTATAGTAGTATTAATGATGGCCAGACGACAGTGGATTTTTGCAATTTCAAATGGCGGGCAGCATTTGAAATATCATCGGTGTCAAGAGTGGTGCTGACAGGACATGTGCCTCGGCAACGACACGCAAGAAAGAATTACGGGGACTGTCGTTAACGTTAAGACCTTACATATCTTGGAAGCTGGCTGTTTTATGGGCTGTTAGGCAAACACGCGCCACCAAACGTGCCTCGAACGCCTCTCGAGTGCTTTGCACTTGCCCCAAAAAGTATGCAATGTGTGTTCATGTGACAGACACTTGGTTCGGTGCTCTGTAAATGTCAACTGGTTGACTCCGTGCGTTCCCCTTCGATGTCATAAATACTAGATGATGTGTGGCGTATGTTGGGGTGAGAGAACGACATGTACTGATGAAATTATACAAGATATCTATGTATATATAACACATCTCTATATGATGCTATTTATGAAGTTTCTTCGACTGAGCATGATTCACGATTGCTTTTTCACTTCTTTTCTTTATTGTGCTTTGCGCAATTCCAGGAAATTTGCAATTCAGTAACTTACTTTCATGTGGGATGGGCTTGGCAGTTGATATTTGCTAAAAATAAATGTCACAATTACTAATACAACAAATGCCTGGCTGCACAATAAGCAATTAGCAATTAGCAATTAGCAATTAGTTGGGTTGCATTTGTATCCTGCTCATTAAGCTGGAGAACCCACAACGAACTTTGTGCATCTGAACTCAGCTGCTTAGCTCTGTTCACCTGCTGTGCGTTTCGCCGGCTTTGCTGCTGCTTTGTTATACGCTCCTTCATTACTTCAGTACAGAAACGCCCACGAGCTGAAGCTCAGCAGAAACATAAACAAACGCCCACTATTCACTTTGCAGTCTGGCTCAATACAACACAGGCGTGCTATTATTGCGAAATTATGCAGACTATTCGCATTTCATTCATAAAACGTTTACGCGCTCCACATTTATTCGCGCACTTAAACCATCTTAGTTTATACAGCTGTGAGCTGTGAGCTGTAAGCTGCACTCTGCCCACAAGTTGCAATCAGTACTTCGCTAGCAACTAGCGTAGGTCAAAGTTGACTTCCTTGCTTAATGCCTCTGATGACATTTATGATGCGTCACCTGTGCCTGTACCTGTGAGAGGACTCTGGTAACGATGAATTAAAACCAACCGCAAACTAATTACACATACGCCTGGTGAGCTGTCACCTTATAACGTATACAAATTTATCAGCTGAAACTGGGGGACACCATTAATTGAACCATTCAAAGGCAAACAGCCGAGTTTCAAACTCATATTCTGCTTACTATTGTAGCTGGACTAAGTCAACAAAGTGGCATATCTACTACAAAAAAGAATCTCAAATCAACTCGAATCTTGCATCTGAAATACGTTTTGATTATCGCCACTATTAGCGAGATGCTGCTGCCAGCTTAAAGCAATTTCAAAAATAAATTACATAGAGAAAATGTGTAGCAAATCTGCTCAGATTTGTGCACCTGCTGCTGATGCTGATGCTGCTGCTGCCACAATGGGTAAGCTCAACACACTCCACATAATTTCAAGGTGTTATACTACTAAACGCAACAAAACCACACAATATATATACGCTATGTATATACATATATATGTCTATGATTATGAGTATGTATATATATATATATATGGAGTTTAAGTACCTGTAGTTGTTAGCACCATTTTGTCAGCAACAAAGCTGTGAAGCTTTTAACTTTTACACACGCGCGCGTAAAAAAAAATAGATATATACATATATATATATATATATATGTATATGTATAGGTTTAAGTGTGTATATAGTATGTATTCTATGTAGTCTGTCTGGTTTTTGATTACTGTTGCTGTTGTTGTTGCTGTTGTCGTTGCCGTTGCTACTGTGCGGTTGCGGTTTCCGTTTTGGCTTACTTAGCGTTTTGGCTTCTGGGTAACTGTGTCCTGTTTACAATAATATTGCGAGTGCTTTGCTTTCACTTTTCACTTTCACTTGGCCAACACTGCCTGTCCTCTCCTGTCTCCCACTCTGTCCTGGCCTGGCCTGGTCTGGCTGTCCTGTCCTGTCTTATTTACTAGTTGCTGGCTGACTGCGCTTTATAAATAATTTGGCATGCTGCCGCTGCGGAGCAACTTTCCCTGCTGTTGCTGTTGTTGCTTCTGCTGCTGCTGCTGTTGCTGCTGCTGCTGCTGCTGCCATTGCCAAAACCAATGCCTTAGAGCATAGAGCAGCAAGGAGGCGTGCGGCGGCGGGAAGCTTACTAAATGACGACTAATACTGTGGATGAACAAATTTCCCGAATACTTATTTTTTGTATGTGTGCTTTTTATGTATGGCTCATTTCTAATGTGTGTGTTTCTCTCTCTTTCTCTTTCTCTGTGTGTGTGTGTGTGTGTGTCTGTGTGTCTCTGTGTGTGTGTGTGTGTATGTGTGCGTGCGCGTGTGTATTGTCACAATTTAAGCAAAGGCGTTACGTCCGCACGCCAGCAGCTCGAGAGTATGACTGAAAGCAAGCATTCGTTGCGTTCCACACAAGCGACGACAAAGCTGTTCCTGCTGCTGCTGCTGCTGCTGCTGCTGCTGCTGCTGTTGCTGTTGCTGCTGCTGCTGTTGCTGCTGCTCCTGCTGTTGTTGCTGCTGCCCGTTTGCACCTAGCCGCTTGGCGAACTAGCTTGCCAAATGGATCGAAGTCGAGGCACGGCTGCGGCGCCAAAGCCCTTCTGTCACATTCAAGCGTTGTTCAGGAGCTTTTTGCGCTGCCCTTTGACTGTTGCTCTCTCGCTTGCACGCTTGGCATACTTTCTTTGTGTATCTGTATCTGTGAATATACAGTTAGGTGTGTGTCTGTCTGTGTGTATGTACATATTAGTATGTGCGATGCTGACGTCGAGCGCTGCTGCTGTTTAACACATCTTGCCACAAGCAACAGGACACAAGCTACCCGGCTTCGGCTCCGTTCGTAGCCTGCCCCAAATTTGGCAGCTACTGTTGCTTCACATTTGCGAGTTTGCGCGTTACGCTTACCCCACCATCCCCACTCTCACTCCCACTTCGGCTGCCACTCCCACTCCGGTTCCGGCTCCGGCTCCTGTTGCTCGGCGTGTCGCGTCACTGTCCCCGGATGCCTAACCTGCACACTTTAGATTCATTTGTGCCAAATATAAAATATGGCACATGGGAGTCTGCCTGCCCAAAACCCAAAGCAAAAGCAAAAGCAAAACAAAAATACGAAACCAAACCAAACGAAACGAAACGAAAAGGCCAAAATTGTCATCAAGCTGATTTCGAAAGTTGTACGAATTCTTTGGTACAACCCTCATCAGATGTAGCATAATCATAATCTTTATTCAAGCAGCGCTTCACGTTGCTTTCTCTTATCGATTTACTGCGTCCAAAATACAACATTTTGACACTGACTTGAGCTTGAGCAGCGGTTGTGTTGTGGGCCTAATTCTATTAAGAACATTGAATTGCTTTGGCTCTGAACTGACCGACAAAAGTGGATGCCAAAAGCAAAATCACAAATTTACATCGAGGATATAGTTTTTGCGCCAATTCCGCCTAAAACCGTAAATTCAATTTTATCGCTAAGGACTTGTATTTCGTATATATTCAGATAAATAATTGTCTTAGAAAACCAAAAAGGGTTGTCAAAGGCTTTAAAGCCCTGACATAGCATTCTGATTTGGTTGAAATATACCTTTGCTTGCTTTGTGAATACTTTCTATAAAATGTTCAATAAAAAGCATGAGAAAAATGTTGTTTGATTTCGCAAAAGTTATTGAATTCCGCCGCTTGAAAAAGTGCAAAATATTCGAGATATTTTACGGTTCGTAATTAACACAAATAACTTCAATCTTTTTTTTTTTTTTTTTTTTTGTGGTGTTGTAAACAATTTAGCATATTTTACATTTATTTGTATAATTTTTCAATTGTTTATATATATATATATATTTATATAGATATATATGTATGTGTATGGTGTGTGTGTGTGTGATGTGTGTAGACATTTTGTAAATAGATGTATTCATTTCGTACATTTATTTCACTCCAGCTATGTATAATGACAATTGTAACTGCTTCTTTATTCTATGCATGTATTGGTATATATATATATGTATATATATGTATATTGAATGCATGTGTTTACGAGTAAATGCTCAGAGATTTTTGGGTTATACTCCAGCTTTAAAGCCATAACATAATATATATATATATGTATTTTGTATATAGTGTCTTAAATGTAGGCATATACCTTTTGTCTGTTTACATATGTATGTGTGCTTACATGCGTGTTAACGTTCTACAGTATTACAATAATATAAAGCGAGAGTTGAGAGTTGTTGTTGTTTTGTTGTTGTTGTTGTTGTTGTTTTGATGTCGGTTTGATATTTCCGCTCGTCGAATATGTGTATCAAAAGTTCAAATCTTTTCATCATTTATTTTCAGACATAGCTCAAACTCTTAGCATTGTGTGTGATGTTTAAGTTTTGTATAAATTTATAGTTGTTAGTTTGCTTATGTAAAATTTCTTTAGCGCTTACAAAAATATCAATATTCAAAGAAGCAACAAGAAATCACATTAAGTTTTTTTCTTTCGTTTTTTTGTTTTTCCCTTTTTTTGTTTTTATGGGTGTTTGTTTTGGGGGTATGAAAGTGTGGGTGTTTCTATACACAAAAAGCGTGCTACTCGCGTTTATCTATTTAGGAATATACCTACATATGTATGCTTGCTTGTATATATGTATATATGTATGCTATATGTGTTTGTATCTGCACTACATGTGTGTGTGTGTGTAAACAACAAACCATTAGCCCAGTGGAGGGAGTTTTTGGAGAGCCTGCACTTGCCAGAAAACAGTAATAATAATAATAAATCAATGTGTGCTCTAGTCGTGTATGCTCGACTAGCAGATACCCTGTACCCAGTTTCCGTCGTTACCGTCATGTATATATAAGCAATATTTCGCACTTACTTCAACCATATTTTAAAGTTATATATTTGAACCGTTTTAACCGTTGAGAAAATCATTAGTTTTGTGTATTAGTTATTGAGTATTTGAAATAGAAATTTCAATAAATATGAAACCCTTGGTCTTTGGTTTTTTATGGCCAGTTATATACAGTTGATAGGTACAGGGTATACAAATGCCTGAGAGTAATTCCATCGAAATCGGCGGCCATAACAATATATATGCATTAACCATTAACTATTAACCATTCACTCATCTTGTTTCATTATCATCCATTATTGTAACTAGCAAACAACATTTAAACATTCTACACAGAACTGCTGCATTATCTAAATCAAATTCAAATTGGGCGCAGTGCTTCCAGATTTGCTCAATTACGATTATATTATATATATATATGTATGTCTATATATATATAGTATGTGTGTATAATGTACCTATGGCGGTCCGTTTCCAATAACACAAATCAGCACCAAAACCAATTAATTAGTAGCCTTGCCCCATAATTGTAACAACTGTGTTCTCGTCATATAATGTATGTGTGTATACGTATGTATATATATATATATATGTATGTATATATATATATATATATATATATATATATATATATATATATGTAGTGGATCTGTGATAAATCATAACATGGCATCAACAATTATGGAAACAGTAACTGTTTCGTCTAAAACCCGCCTTTAAAACCCGCACAGCATTGCAGTTAGTACTTTTAGTTAGTGTTTTTTGTTTTTGTTTTGTTTGTGTATAATAATGCCTATGTTTTTATATATGTATATGTATAAGTTTGTATATGCTTATATAATACAATATTCTCATCTCTGCACATACAAAACGGTATAAATATTATGCATTCGCAATGTAACTGCCTCTAAATAGTTATGTATATATATATATATTTTTGTATATATATATATATATATGTATATGTATTATTTATGTATATTTTATACGTATAAATTTTATATTTATGTATATATATATATATATGTTTTTTGTTTTTACTGCGTGTTTTTGTGTTTTTGTTTTCAGGTCACTACATTTTTTTGATGGCTTAGTTTCGTTATGCATTTGTCTTTGACTTAATAAAATGTTGTTCATTGTAATTGTAATTTGGTATTCATTCATTGTTCAACAACGTGCTGAGTTGATGCGCTTCTAAAACGATACTCAGCCGGTTATCTAAATTGGATCGATAACTGATTACAGATAACTGATAACTGATAACTAACTAACAACTGCCCCAAGAGCGATCGGTGTGCGAACTGTGCATTTCATACTCCCCAATGGAGTAACCATTTGTATATAAAACATTCTAAACCGTGTTTGAAACAGCAATTATATCTCTTATTATGTATTTGTGTATGTTCGATTCATGCAGCACCAAGTGGCACTCTCGTATAACTAGTATGCAATTCTTAGGTGCTCTCTACTACAACGCCAATACTGATTAGGAAGTACGAATGCTATTTTATTGCATGTGATTGAGAACCGAGCGCTAACCGATTTGTTGAGCCTACAATGTGCTAGTTTATAACTGCTGTGAATCACACTCTACTTTCTAATACACATTCTACACTCTACACTCTACTACACATTCATACTCTCACACACACACAGACACACGCACCAACACACACACACGCACGTATGCAACCAGATAAGCTAAGAAGCTAAAGCCAGATCTAGTATCGAATCGCGTCAACTTTGTGTTTCCCTAGCAACCTATTTATTCTCAATTATTGTCTGCAATTGCAGGACGAGACTGCGTGATAGCTGCAAAATCGATTGGGCATTATGTCGTTCGGCCATTTCTGAAATCATAAAGATATATATGCAGATATAGTATTTATGGTGGATGGGGAGGTATTTATGGTGGGTTGCTATTACCATTGAAGAATTTGATGACATCCGTAAAGTCCATACTGTTGGACAGAATGATGTCGCGATAGGTTTCGAGCAGAGCCAGCGCCAGGAAGAGCACAAAATGACCGGAGGCAATGTGCTTGGCCGCCCAGATGACCTCCCAGGTGGCAAAGACATCGTCATAGATGAGCTCGCGCTTAAAGTCCAAGAGGAACCAGCGGTAACAGAAATAGAAGTGCGTATAATCGCCATTCGAGTCCATCAAATCGTACATCTCCGAGTCGAGTATTTGAATGAGTGAGCTATGAGCAATCAAATCGATTATGATTATGAATACACATTGATAGATCCATAAATAGACAGATAGATAGATAGATCCATAAATAGACAGATAGATAGGTAGATAGATAGACAGGTAGATAGATAGATAGATAGATAGGTAGATAGATAGACAGATAGATAGATAGATAGATAGAAAGATTGATAGATAGATAGATAGATAGGTAGATAGATAGATAGATAGATGAGTTCCACTCACCGCATATTGGCAAAATGCATGTCCATGGCACCACCACTGGGAAAGTTCTCGATCATGCGCTCCATGAGCTTGCAGAAGCAGCTGTAGCTGAGCGACTCATCATCGAAGATGACCAGCAGCGGAGCGACCAGATCGCACATGCCCTGCATGTAGCCAACGTCCAGATGCTCCCACACATACGTGGATATCACATTGCGCAGCTTGTCCAGATTCTCGTTGGCAAAGTACCAATAGTTGCGATCGCAGCGCTGCACATCCTTCTCGATCCGATGCAGATTCAGGCCAAACTGCTCCAGCAGCTCCACGCTGTAGACGCCACCATTGGAGCTGGCTGGTGAGACGCAGGCGGACTTGGGCTCCTGGAGGGCATCCAAAGAGGCGACGACTGTGATGTCTTCGTTAAGAGGCGACATCAGGCTCGTTTTCCGTGATGTAAACTCTTCGGTGGGCTCGTCGTCATTGCACTGCACGTCGAGATCATCCAGCGAGGCAGCTTCCGTGATAATTACCGCCGTTGCTGGATGTTCCTCGTCGTGACGCAGATCGTCGGCGCTGTGAAATTTACTTAGCTGACCGTAGCGCTCTGCATCTGTTTCTGCATTCGATTCTGGCTCTGCGGCTGGGTCCACTTCCTCCTCGTCTAAAGCCTTGGCATCGGCAAGATCGGCGAACTCATTGCCCACTGTCTCGTAGCTGCTGGTGGACGGTGAGCTCTTAATACTTAGCATCAGGATATTGCCACTGCAGTCTAGGGTCAAGCCAAGATCACCCTCAGTTTCCGAGTCCCCAAAACAGTTCTCCTGCAAACGCAGCGGCTCCATGTCATCAATATTCTGGAACTCTAGCACCACCTGTTCACTGAGCTGTTTCATTTCAGTTGTCGCCTCTTCCTCTTCCCCTTCCTCTTCCACTCCCACGTCCTCTTCCTCCTCCACTTCCACTTCCAGTTGCACTTCCGCTTCCACTTCCATAACGACTTGCTGTAACTGCTCTTGCTCCTGCTGCTCCTGCTCTCCATCTGGGCTCTGATCATCGTACTCATCACCCGGATCAGATATATCCGAGAAATCGTTATCGTCATCAAATACATCGTTCTCGCCCTCGACCAGCACGCCGGTCAACTCCATCTGCAGCACCAGTCGCTGGCTATTGCCATTGGGTAAACGCTTATCCGAAGCATTATCATTTGCATTGGCCGCCAGTCGTGCCTGCTCCGCACTCAATTTGGCCACCGCCAGTGCCGTCTTCTCTTTCTCCCGCTGGCGTACAATTGCCTCCACGGCGAGCCATTCGCTCATTGTGGTCTCATAGTAGTGTTTGCAGGTCTCGTCCTGCCTCTCCCGCTCTGCCGGCGTCGAGCCGAACGCATAGTGTCCAAGCAAATAGGGCCACACCTCCTTGCGCAGCTCGTGCTCCACTCCGCCAAAGTAGACCAGACGATACAGCTCCAGTTCACCAGCAACGACACCATCCACATGCATCGCCTGCCATTTCTGTCTAGTTAGACCCTCCTCATCCGCCGCCACTGCAAGAGTGAGCAGAATTTATAGTTCTATATGTCTATTCTATGTTAATAAAGATAAGCCGTCTGATATTGCACAATCCACTCCCGATTGGAAAAATGAATGAAACTAGTTTCAAATACATTTTCAAAAATCGATGGAAAAGTTCGTTAAACACTCAGCTTAACTTGAATAACATTCACTTACAATCTGGTGTGATGCGACCATTGACCAGGCCAGAAAGATGCGTGCGCACCGTGGATAGATGGCGACAGTAGGCCAGCCAGCCGTAGAAGGCGCGCGAGATGATCTGGCGACGCATCGTGGAGCAGACGAGCTCGATGCTGGCCGTTTGGCTGGCCTGAATCAATGGTGGATCCGGATTGCTGCTCTGGTCAATGGACAAGCTCTTGCTGGAGCAATCGCTGCTGCCTGTGGTTGAGCAGCTGCCAAGATGCCTGCGTCGTGGACTGGAACGACCCAGCTCCAGTATGGGATGTGTTGCCACTAACAAAACAAAAACAAAAATCACAATTACATTTGTTTTGTGGATGATGGCCAAATTACTTACGGAACTCCTCGTGCTGACTCTTGCTGACCACGCGAAACACATAATCGATGGGCGTCTCATCGCTGGATGACTCCATTACCGAGGGCAGAATATGCCGTCGCACGCTCTTGGGCCAGGGGAAGAGCTTGCCAACGCCGCGCTGCGACCAGAGTGGCGGATCCAGTTGGCCATGTGGCAGCAGACCCGTCTCCAGACAGCTGAGGAACGCCTGCAGATGTCCGCCTTCTGGGAAATGTATGGGCGGACGCTGTACGCCATCCTGGCCAACCAATATGATGGTGCCGCCAGTGTCGCCGCCACGATTCTGGTGGCAATGCACATAGACAATCTCATCCACATTGATGTTGAGCGCATAGCCCCAGTAGAAGCTCTTGTCGCTGCCATCGCCATCGTTGTAGCCGTTCATCAATTGATTGGGCGTCCATTTAATCGTTAGGGATTGGATGCTCTGGTGCAAACTGAGATAGCCCGGCATCGGTTCGGCGACATCCTTGGGTAAGACCAGCACATTGTTTTTGCCATAGAGCAGGGTTGTACGCGAATTTTGGTGCAACGACTCCACATAATCCTTGGCCACGCTTGCCGGCGAGCAGGCCTTGAAGCTGCCGCTGCTCGTATCCTCCGAGCTGGTGTGCAGGCTCCGCTTGAAATTGATGATGGGCCGATGACAGGTGGGTGGCGTGCGATTGCCTGAACTGATGCGATGACGCTGCACCTGAGAGGGACAGGGAGACGAGGAGACAGAGAGACAGAGGGACAGAGAGAGAGAGAGAGGAATGATCATAACATGAATATAACTGATGAGTAATCTTTTGCGCTTATTCATTTTGTGTAGTTACCAGCTCATCTGCGCAGGGATCAGACCAGTAGTGGTCGGCAGTCTTAGCACGCGTGAACTCCAGGGCACAGGGGCCGACCAGCAGGGAGCTGAGTATGGAACCATAATCGGGATCGGCGACGAGGGCTTCGCGATCGTAGTAGCTTTGCGCATTGCTCACCAGATGCTCAATAATCTTGGCCAGCCGCTTCTCGTAGAGAGCCAGACGTATCCACAGATACTTGCCCAGCGCTGTGGCAGCACCATTGGCGCCCGACAGCGGGACGACCGTATTGATAGTCGTCACGGAGTTGCTGCTGCTGTTGCTGCCCTTGCTGAGTAGCTTGGGCTTGATGATGCTGTCGCTGCTGGAGGACGAGCGCTTGCCGGTAACCACATGACTCTCCTGGGCCAGCTCCAGCTCCAATAGGCGACGGCTGACATAGTCTGCCTCTGGACAAATCTTGGCTATCTTCTGTATGAGCGCTGTCGTCGAGGACGTCTTGAACAAGCCCAATGCACGACGGCGCAGGCCGTGACTGAGACAGGCTTCGACGGCGCCGCAGAGCGAGGTCACCGAGCTGCTCTCCTCGTGGATATACTTCTTGGTGACAGCTTCCTCCATCAGTTGCTTCACCTCCTTCTTAACGCTAGCAATCAGACGCTCTTTCAGCTCGCACTCTGCGTAAATAATAGTGGTAATATTATAAACAAATGCGATTAAATAAATATCTTTAAAGCCTTATAACTAGTTTATAAGCTGCTCAAAAGTTGGCAACAGCAACTCCATATACATGGACAACTTCCGTCCATCCCCCCACTGCAATTACGGCTCTGTTCCGCCCCTGGGTCGGGCTTGATTGATGGCTCGGCGAACCCGCCTCAACCCATCTTAGTGGGAATTGCGTATAAGCTGTAGTCCAGGCTGATGTCAATCATTTTGTCATCAGTGTCAATTTAGTTGCTGCGCTGTTCTATGCACAATTCATCCTTACTTGCTATGCTGTACAGTTCATGGATGTAATCGCAGATATGCCAACCATGCATCGCAAAGAAAGACAGAGCCCAATTATGCAGAAAAAAGGAAACAGGATGGAAAAGATTTGATACAACGTGTATCAAATATTTCCAATGACTATCGATATCCTTTTTTCATTGCCTATCTATTCACTTATTAATTTAATGTAGATATAACTTCACAATATTTTAGTGTAGACTAAGAACCCCAAGTTGGTTAGCTCTTCAAAACACCAATTGAATATTTATTTATCAATTATCAAATAAGAGAATATCAAATAGAGACTGAAGTGCGAGTGTGCAAATTAAATGCCAATTATAAGACTCTTGCATTGCTATTGATGCACTTTGAAGTGAGATTGAAGTGGACTCGTAGATTGTGTCAATTTGCTGATCGATAGCATAGTGTTTACCAATTAAACAACTGGCAATATGTGCTTTTGAAATTGCCAGCACACATTTGAATTATGCAGCATTTTGGCTTTAATTATCGGGTAACAAAGAAACTACAAAAACGGGGCAGGATACGAATAACCTTGACTCGGTGCAAGGAAAATAATAAAATAATGGCAAAGACATAATTAAAAATGAGAACGAAGAAAACCATTGTGCGTGTGCGTATGTGTGTGTGTGTGTGTGTGTGTGTTTTGTGTGTGTGTGCGTGCATGTGTATACCTATTGTAGGGTGTGTTGGTTGGCTGGATGAGGGTGAGCATGGTGTAAGCTACACCTGCGACGCACTCTCTTGACCCTGAACAACATAAAACAGCTGATGACAGGCAAAGCTCGCCGAGTGTTCGCGCTGTGCGCGAGAAAGATGGCGTTTGCTTACGCATAACAGTCGCTCAGTCACTGAGTGCGAGAGAGAGAGGGCGTGCAAGAGGGATGGCGAATGTGAGCACTGCTTATGGGTTTCCTTGCCTTTTAATTTGATGTCCGTGCTACACACATATCCCAGCACTCTTTTGTGCCGTGTGTTGCCTTTGGCCAACGCCATATTGTAAATGGAAGCTGGACCCAAACATATGTTTGCCACCCTGAACAGAATCTGATAAACAGACACACACACACACACACACACGCGCGCGCGCATAAAGTGAGAGAGAGATAGACTGATGCACCTTGGCCATGAACACAATGGGGAACGAGCTTCAGATTACTTCAATAGCCAACCAATTTGTTAAACGACATAATAAATTTTGTAAACAGACACAGGTGCGTTGCGCGAATGCTATTACCGGTCAGCGAAACTATCATTAAACACCGATATCTGCTCAATTAGCCTGACAAAGGCTGTGGCTTCGGTCTGGTCGGGTTTGGTCTGGTCTGGTCTGGACTGGCCGCTGTCTAAGCAATCCTTGTACACAACCACAACACAACCACACAACGGCAAACGACGGAAATTGATGAATGCAAATTTGCTTGGCCCTGAACTTTTGCATTTGTGCGTTGAGTGAATGCAACAAGCTGCAATGCCACCAATACACACTTTAAGAATGCGCTACTTAATTGGCATCAACATTAAAAGGGTGCGTAGGCAGTCGACTGAAGGACTGGGTTGCAACCCAGTCTATGTGGGTGGTGTATTCTGTACAGGTACAGGGAGATGAGCAGATGGAGCATCGCTTTGTAAGTGGAGTGAACTCAAGCCCAATTGATGCCCATTAGTGGTAATGTGCAGCCAATTAGCTGATTGCAAAGTGCAGGCAATCACTTATTCCAAGAGCATAATATATTTACTTGCACTTGGAAGGGGACTGACTTAAAGTATATCCATATATATATAACACAACGGGCCAAATATGGCCTAAGTGTGTCAGCCTACCGGGCTGACAGCCGATATAACCTAACCTATATATATGCATATATATGTATACATTTCGAAAGTGGGACTATGAATATGGGCAATTATTGCAGCTTATCCAAACATATAGTTAAAGTTTCAATATTTACAGCACTACTAACACTAAATTGATACACATCGTGAAATATTGATTGTTAATTATTACTTCACTCAACCAAAGTTTGTCCTATCATTAAATTGACACGGGTTTTCCACTTTAAAAGGTATAAATAAGTATACAATTGGCATATTAGAGTTAGTAGAAATTCAGGGTTCGATTTGCACACAGCCTGTCTGTGCATGTCTATTTATTGTTTTTACTGTGATATTTGTTGATATAACTATATTTGTTTATTGTCTGGATAAGTACATATATTGATATAAGAAATGAATCAGTGATGATAAAACGGTCAACTTTCAACATGAATTTTAAACGAACATTTAATTCTGTTTTATATATATATATTTATAGCGGCGAAACAATCACCAAAAAGTCATTATCAATAATCAGTGTACATTGCTTTGATTTACCAACAACATTCGCCATTCGCCATTCGCCAGTCGCCTCAAAGTATGCTACAAAAAGCGTATTGGTATTACGGCGACATCGGAGCTTGGCCACACACACATGCATACATCACACACATCAGACACATACATGCACATGCGTATTAACAATATATACATGTACGCACATACACATATTTTCACACATACACACACACACACACACACCGTAAATTACAAAAGTTGTGTTCTTGGAAACTTTCGATAGACTCGGCATTTGTCTTGCATAAAGTAAAATCATTCCGTTTGCTCACCTTCAACTCAGACAACACAGACAATGTATACACTCGAAAAAATAAAGGAAACCAAATTCGTAGTCTGGTTTCAATTCAAATTTGATGAGCCGCTTTTTGGAATACCGAAGTGTAAAACTGTTTCGATGATAAGTTAATCACGATTTCACATCATTGAATAACTTGAACAGATAAATATTTCTTAAATCAAGATCTTGTAAGCTTGGAGTAAGTTGCTGGGCTCTTATGATTTTATAATGGTGATATAATCTTAAAATAAAACAATATCAGCTTGAATCAAGAACTCAAATTGTCAACGGAACAAAATGCTTGTTATTTATTCAATGCCGATAAAAGCCGAATTTAAAAATTTAAAAATTGTAAATATCTTTTAAGGATAATTAAAGCACGATTTTACCCTGAAGTCTGAAGTTTGAAGACCAACTGTACTTGACTTTAGAACAGCTTGTTTTTCCGAGTGTAAATATATAAATAAGTATATATTATGCGTAGATATGTATGATAATTGACATTGCTATCTCTTTTGTTGCCATTCTTGTTGTTGTTTATGTTGTTGTTACTTTTGTGGTGTGTTTGGTTTATAGCGTGGAAAAGAAAAAAAGAAAGGAAAACCTGCAAAAATGTTTCTCACTTACCGTTGTTGGCATCGCTGTTGGCGTTGGAGGTGCCACCGCTGCTGAAACTATGTAGCATATTCATTTTACTCGTTGTACGTTGGACGTGCCTCGCTGCTAACCACCAGGCTCCCGATTTTTGCTGCTGCTGCTGCTGCCGTCTGTTCGTCTTCTTTGCCGCTATTTTGTTGGTGTTCGTTTTGCGGCTCAATATTTGGGGATTATATATGTATGCATATGTATATGTATATGTTTGTATGTAATTCTTTGGGCAAATATTTTCAGTTTCAGTTTTGTTTATGCGTCGCCGTTGTTAGTTGCTCTTCTCTCTGATACGCATTCTCTGTTGCTACTCTCACTTTCTCTTTCTGTTGCTCGGCTGCTCCTCTCTGGCTTTGTCCCAGCTGCTGGTTGCCTTTTTTGTCTTTTTTTTTGGTGTGTTGGGGGTATTTACTGTGATATTTTTTTATTTTCGTTTGCTATGCAGAAAATCAATTTGTATAAAAGTGTATATTCGTTGTATTTATTTATTTAATTTTTTTTTTGTGACACGAACTCCATTTGTTGGCTGTGGTATTAATAACAGTACAACGCACACAAACACACACAGAGGCGCACAATTGCATGCACATATGTGTGAGTGTGTGTGTGTGTGTGTTTTCCGCACTGGCAACAAATTGCTGCGGCTGCTGTGTGTTGTTTTTGTTGCTGTTTCACTTTCTGTAGTTCGTCTCCTTCTCCTTCTTCGTCTTCGTCTGCCTCTTTCTTCTTCTTGTTGTTGTGGTTGCGTTAAAAGCGTAGTCAAAAAACAATTACGCATTTGTTCGCACGAGAATGCGAGTAATTAAGCAGAGTGCACACATATGCATTTATACACATACATATACGTATACGTGTATATGTGTATATGTGCATGCATATATATACACAACGATTAACGGATGCTTCACATTTCAGCTGCTTTGTTGTTGTTTTAGTTGTTGCTGCTGCTGTTGCTGCTGCTGCTGCTCTTTGAGTGATGTTTTTGTTGTTGTTGCCAAATGAACGGACGAATATTTTGCTGACTGTCCCGTTGTGCTCAGTTCATTGTGTAGCAAACTTTCAGGGGCTCTCTCTCACACCATTTTAGCTCCACACTGTGTGTGTGTGTGTGTCGGTATTCGTTTGCTTTCAGTTGCTGTCGTTGTCGTTTCTAGTCCGTTCGCCAGCAGCTTCGTTTGTGTACTAACGGAACTTTATTGACACACACAGAGCCCAAAGCCGCTGCCAGCCGCATCACTCGAATTTTATTCGCCTGCTTATCGATAAATAACGATAGACTTCTCGAAAATGGCGGCTTTGCGTTGTTCAGCTTGCGTTTCAATTTAACTACTAAAAAAAAGCATGTGCAACAAGTATTCAAGAAAATCATAGCGTTTAAATCGATCTCTATGTTTACAAATATTTCATTTATGTAAACTCATTGTGTATTATTGTGAACTAAAAACATCTTTGGCTCATCACTGCTCGTTGCATGAGTATTACCACTTTACTGGCATCAAAATACAAAAGACAAACTTGATTTATTTATTAATGATGAACAAGTTTAAGAACGCAATTCCTATAATTCCAATAAACAAATGTTATCTACTGATTTGAAATAGTAGCTTCGGTCCAAACATAATATTGAATAAGTTTGGATATCTTGTTAAGCAAAAGTGATTTTTATACAACCGATCCTATGGAAGTTTTGGGATACATAATTCAGAAATACGACCCGACGGACACGACTATATCGACTAGGCGATGCTGATCATGAGGTCGGAGACGTCTCCGTCAATGCGTTACAAACTTTGCGACATTATTATAATACGCCCTAAAACGAAAAACTAAACAAATATTAAATTAAAGTTCTGCTGGAAACATATCTAAATTAAAAAGTTGGTCTTAAGCTCTCTGATTTAAAAAGCATAAAACTAGTTCAATATCTATTGATTTACTAAGTGCAGTGAAATTTGTATATATTACACTCACCAATAAGGGTGAACTCTTGAGCAATTAAAAGCTAAATTCTCTTAAATTTAAATTTATTTATTCAATTGTAAACATTTCCGAATGTCAGCAATTAACAATTATCAGTTAGAAAAGGTTTTGTAAAAGGTATCAAATTACAAACACATACGTATTAAATCATTTATATTTACAGAATAATTATGTTGGGTTTCTAAGATTAGATTTAAAGTTCCATAACCACGTAAGGAATGTCTGTGACATATATATATATATATAAACGTATGTGTGTGACTAACGAAGAACAGTAATGGGATCGCCACAAGCCAGTTGGGGCTGCATCCGGTTTTCGTTGGGCAGACGTGAAATGTAGATGCCGAAACGCATCTTGCCGCTCTGGATGCGGGCAATGGTGGTTAGGGTGTCAGGGGAACGCTGTCCGGTGCGCTGATTGATGCAGATCATATCACAGCGCTGGCAAGGACCTTCCACCTGGAAGAGGACTTCACCGATGCGCAGCTGGCCGAACTCCAGCTCCTCGAAGGGCACACCAGTGTCGATGACAATGTTCGACCGAAACCGATCCACAGTCTCGTCCAACGGCTCCTCAAACCCCAGCGAACGCACCGAGGCGCGATTCACAAGTAGAAATTGCGCCTGATTCACTAGACTGAGCTGCTGCCGGTCGCCTGGTGCACGTCGCTGGGCCGATTGACGCAACAGCCGTAATCCGTCTAACCCCAGCTGCTGGCACAGCCAATTAGCCACCTCATCGCCACAATCGTAGCCCTCGACCGACTGGCGGCACACCTTGCTCTGGCAACGAGCCGAATTCGTGGCCTGATCCGTTAGCGAGAGCGGAACACTGACAAACGTTGTGGAGCCATCGCCATTGAAATGCAGCTGCAGCTGATCGGCAACAATGCGTGGCTGGATGAGGCACAGATCCGTGCAGCGCTTCTGCGTCAATGCCATGCCATTTAGATCAACGATCATCCACTCGCGATCATACTGCAGACCCTGATCCGTTAACGCAGACGCCGGCATCTTGAGGGCGGCACACGACTTCACCGGATAGATGGCCAACTGGAGGAGTTGCGGCCGCAACTGCTGGGCTCGCTGCTGCAGCAGCTTGGGCAGCTGCTGGACCCGTTGCTCAATGAAGTCTAGACGCTGATGCCACTTCACGCTCAAGTAGCTGTCGCGCAGCATTTGCAGCAGACGATCGACGTCCTGCAGTCGCGTCATATAGCCAAAGGAGACACGCACCGCGCCCGTCGGCCTCCCATCGAGCAGATCATAATAGTCGCCACAGATGCGGCCGGCAAGCTTGTAGATCGCATCCATGGCATCACCGTTGAGGTTCATAAAATGCTGACAGGCGCCTACATTGCAAAAGCAGCCGGTGCGCAACAGAATACGATGCAGTGCAGCCACAGAGGCGATCTCACCAAAGCCCACATAATCGCCGGCAGCGGTGCGCACATTGAATGCCACAATTCCACCCTGCTGCATGCGATCCTCGTAGCCGGCATGGTTATAAAGTGTGACAAGTGGAGCACCATTCGGATACTGCATCTGCAGCAGCTGCTGCTCACAGTAGCGTGCCAAGCTGTGCACGTGTCGCGATATGCGCTCCATGCTTCGGCCGGGCACCAGACGCTGCAGCGTCTGAAAGCCCTGCAGCAGCTCCACTATAGATAGAAAGGGCAGCGTGCCATCCTCGAAGCGTTCGTGGAACGTCGAGCGCAACTGATGCTCCATTGTGTGTGGATAGGCAAAGTTGACGGTGCCGCCGCCATAGAAACGCTTCTTCAGCAACTCCGCACCCCGCTTGCTAACCAATAAAGCACCCACGCCAGTGGGATAGCCAAAAATCTTGTAGAAGCTGAGGCAGACATAATCCGGGCGATGTCGCCTCAAATCCAATGGACTGCTCGCCGCATACGAGGCTGCATCGAGACAGACATAATAATTGCTTTGACCGGGATCTGATTGCAACTTGCAATCGATGCACTTGCCGGGCTCCCGTAGGCCATCTTGCTGTATCTTCTCGATGACAGTCAGTGGCATTTTGTAGCCACTAAAATTACACTGAGCCGAGAAGACGACCAGAGAGTTGTCGGAGTGAGCTGTTGCAGCGGCCGCGGTTGCACCAGCTGGAGTACCATTGTTGAGCAAAATTTGATCTTTAGTGAGCATATAGATGCGATTGGCACTAACCAGCTGACGCATGCCCAGCACCGAGGTATGATTCTCTTGGCAATAGTGAAAGTTGCCATTGGTCCCGAAATCAAAGTGATCCGCCACTAGACGCAGTGCAGCCGATGCATTCGCCGTGAACACAACATGATACTCATCCGCATTCGTATTGAAGAACTCCAAGATTCTGTCGACAAGACGATTAGCACCAATTCTTTCGATTTAATGCAAATCACTTACTTGTAGCGCACCTGATCCACGTAGTCGCCGGTGACTCGACAGGTGTGCGGATTACAAATCACATCACGTTGCAACTGCTGCGCTGCGTCAGACACTTGATTGTGGGCATAGAGTGTAGTGCCCGCATGGTCGAGGTAGGTGCTATCTGTATGGGTGAATTTGACATTGGGTTCTTATCTATATGGTGAAATTAAGTGCAATATTTCGCCAGTTACCCGATAGGCGTGCGAACTCTGCATCGATGAGCGCCTGTTCGTCCGGTGTGAACTCCGCCGTGTAGTCGCCCATTATTACACTCCGGTAATAAATAACTTTAGAGCTGACGCGACTTAGGCGACATTCAGCAAAAAGCAACCGCCACTTAGATATGTTTTTTTTTAATTACCGATTTCGATATGTTCTACGATCAATCGATATATTTATAGCTAGAGATGGTAGCACAGTGCGCATTAACATATTTTTAAACTGTAAACATGAATTGGACTAACAACAGTGGCATTTCTTGTTAGATAGTTTTTATAATTGAAGCCAATAATCAGAGATTAAAGCCTAGTGCATTTTTACATCTATCGTTATCAAACTCAATTAGTGTTGGACAAATACAAAAACGAAAGAAAGCACAACTATCGATAACAAGCAGCTGCTCGCGAACCATTTGCAATCGCAACATTAAACGCATTTTGTTTTTTTTTTTGTTCCTTTTTGCAAATTCGTGCAAACGTTTAACATTTGAATAAATTTGCATCACAATGCCCAAAGAGAAATCGCGACGACGCAGTCGGAGCAGGGACAGGAAAACTTCAAGTGGGCACAGTTCGGAGCAGAAGCAGAAACGCAGCCGCGACAAACAGCGGGAGGAGTCCACAGCTCAGTTGCATCGAGAGCGGGAACCAGATCGCGATAGACATCAGCAGAAGCGTCGGGAGCAGCGAAGTAGGAGCAGAAGCCGAAGCAGGAGCAGGCAGAAGCAGAGGCACGCGGTGAAGGAGCAGTCGCGACGCAAAGATCATCATCGGAAACGCTCCCCATCCTCCACCTCGTCCTCCTCCTCCTCATCATCATCATCCGGCTCATCATCGTTCGCGGCAGCAGCGACAGCTCGGCGTAGTCGACGCAGTCCCGAAATGAACTCGATAAAGCTGCTGCAAACGCTGGAGGAGCGACGGTTGCGGGAGCAACAAGAGCGCCAGCGCATCAAGGAGCAGCTAAAGGCTAAGGAGACGCCCGAGGAGAAGCGATCGCGTCGCCTGCGCGAGAAGCAGGCCAAGGAGCAGAGACGTCGCCAGCGCATGGGCTGGGACAATGAATACCAAACGTACTCGAATGAGGATAATCCCTTCGGTGACTCCAATTTGACGTCCACGTTCCACTGGGGCAAGAAACTGGAGGTCGAAGGCCTCTCCAATCTGTCCACAAAAACGGTCGAGGTGCTTTCGCTGCAAAAGCAACTGGAGAATCGTCGCGAACTGGAGAAGGTGAAGAAGCGACGCCAGGAACGCGAACTGGAGCGACAGGCACGTGAGGATGATGCCATGCAGCAGCAGCGTGCCAAGGAAGCGGTTCAATTTCGCGTATGGCAGCGCCAAGAGGATCAATTCCATCTGGAGCAGGCCCGGCTGCGCAGCGAGATTCGAATAAGGGATGGTCGCGCAAAGCCCATCGATCTGCTGGCCCAGTATGTGGCCGCTGGGAGCACGGAGACGGCGCTGGAGGATGCACTCGAGATGCAAATGCATGAACCGTATATGCTGCTGCAGGGTCTGCATATGGAGGAACTGGAGGATCTACTCGTTGACATCAAGGTATACGAAGAGCTGGAGCAGGGCAGGCACATTGACTTCTGGAACGACATGATCACCATTGTGCAGGATGAGCTACAGAAGCTGCTAAAGATCCAGCAGAGTGAGGCGAACGCATTGAATCAGCGACGCGACGGCATCCATCAAAGCGTCGTCAAGGATGTGGCGGACATCTTTCGCGGCAAGAACGCCAAGCAGCTGGAGGAGATGCGTTCACGCATCGAGGCCAAAATCAGTGGACGTGCCGATGGCGTTGACATTAGCTACTGGGAGAGCCTCTTGTCGCAGCTGAAGGCGCACATGGCGCGTGCCCGACTCCGGGATCGCCATCAGGCGCTGCTACGCGAGAAGCTGCAATTGCTCAAGTGTGAGAACGAAACGGGCGCCGAAGGAGGAGCCACAGTTGTTGGCACAGATCAGCCAATGACAAGCACATGCCCATTGGCAGCAATCAAGCAGGAGGACGACGACCACGATGAGCCCAATGATCAACAACAGACGGCGAAGACGGAGGCGGAGGAGACGGAGTTGGAGATGGAAATGGAGCAGCCGGAGATCGATAGCCCGCTGCGGGAACTACAGAATGCGGTGCGAATGTATCAGCTGGGCAACTACAGTCCCACATACATACGCGAGGATGACTTCAGTGGACGTCGTCTGACCGCTGCCGATGAGGACATCGATGGTGGCCTGTACGCCGACAGCGATGATGAGCGTCGTGTGCAGCGCCAGCGTTTGCAGCTCATACATCCGGAACGAATGTCGGATGCGGCGCCGCTAACCCCACAGGAGCAACGGATGCGGGGCGAGGCACGCAAGGGGATGCAGGGCGATGAGGCCGAGTTCAGTGTGGAGACAACGCTGGATGCAGTGCCTCAGCTGGCCACCGATAAGTATCGGCCTCGCAAGCCGCGCTACTTCAATCGCGTCCACACCGGCTTCGAGTGGAACAAATACAATCAGACGCACTACGACATGGACAATCCGCCGCCAAAGATCGTGCAGGGCTACAAGTTCAACATATTTTATCCGGATCTCATGGACAAATCGCAGACGCCACAATATTTCCTCACGCCTTGTGCCGACAATGGCGACTTTGCGGTGCTCCGCTTCCACACTGGTCCACCCTACGAGGACATCGCCTTCAAGATCGTCAATCGCGAGTGGGAGTTCAGCTATAAGCGCGGCTTCCGCTGTCAGTTCCACAACAACATCTTCCAGCTCTGGTTCCACTTCAAGCGCTATCGCTACAGGCGCTAAAATTGCTGACCAGGCTCCACCTGGAGCAACCAACAACAATTGCTATTCTATTATTATTAAAAAAATTGACAAATAATTCAATTGTGTTTTGAGCAATTTTTCTGAAATGACTTTTTGAAGCCGCATTTTACACTTGGAAAAAATTGTTTGATATTCAATTCCTATATTTAGTTTTCTTTCTACATAGTATATATACATTTATTAATTATATCCGTTACATGATGCTGCAGTCCTTGATGGGCGCCGCTTGAACTGTTTCCAGGGCCTGGCCAGCCTCTGCCCGCTGCACCTGGTCGAGCACGCTCTGATGCTGGGGAAAGGCGAGGCTGGCCAGTTTCGAGTGCACCAGCTGATCGTCAATGGTCACCTCAAACGATCCGCGTCGTCCCTGGTGACACGCAACCTGTACCCCTGGCGCCGCATCCACCAGAAACTGCCGCAACATCTGGCATTGCATCGAAAAGTTGCAAGTGCCGCTGTGTCAAATGAGGCCACATTATTAAAGTAAGCTGCAAGTGCTGATAATTGACCAACTTGCCAGTATTCTATGTCCACATTGACCATTGCATAAATATTAAAAAAAAACAAGACAAAAACACCCAAACTAAATATTATTGGTATTCCCTTAAAATAATTCACGTGCAAATTGCAGCAGGATGAATATCGTATATTATCACGATTAATATTTGCAGTGTCTCCAGAGGCAATCAGTTTAATTTATGTCGCAACACATTTGAATTCAGATAACTATATATAAATTGAAACGCAAACAATTAACGTTTGCGGGATCACCGTTAATGCAATTTGGCATTTCGCTTGGCGCCTATCGATAATTTCCGTTGCAAAAATGTTAAATGTTGTACGATTTAATTTAAATATATACAATTGAAAGAACAATGTTTTTCAAAGGAAAAGAAAAAACACTTTGTAAAAGAAATTCAACCTTTGTTCGCTCGGGCTCGTAGCAATGTTTTGCACGCGGCATTGTGGGTCTTCAGCGGCAGCTCATCTGCAAGGCAGGAGAGGATTATTATTGGATCAATATGTTGTCGATGGGTGTTGCTTACAGATCTTGTGCTCGCCCTGCACCGGCAGGAGCACGGGCAACTGTTCCGGCCTGCTGCACACCAACACATATGGACTGTCCGACTCACCTTGCGGATACATATCCCGATACTCCTCCTGGGGCAGGCAGTGCTCCACGTGCACACAGCCCAGCAGGCTGCCAGTTGGATAATGTGTTGGAAATTTCAAATCCTTGTCTGTAAAAAGCAATTGCAATAAGAGACATCATCGCAATACATGAAACTGCTTACCATTGTAAAGCGACCGATAGAAATCCTCCATTTGGGCAATGTCATCGGCATGCGGCTCCTTGGCCGTTGAGGCAATCCACAAGCGTCCGCGATGCTCAGTGTACCAAACGCGACCCTCGTGCCTACATTTCATTCAGAGAGAGAGAGCGAGGGAGAGAGAGCGAGAGAGGGAGAGAGAGAGAGAGAGAGGGAGAGAGAGAGAGAGAGGGAGAGAGCGAGAGAGAGAGAGAGAGCGCGAGAGAGAGATAAGTCATTCAATTTGAGATGATATCCAAAATTTGGCTTACTTTTTGAGGCCCGCCACAAGGAGAGATGCCCAGGGCTGGTGCATGGAGAGGCACTGGCGCATGTCCTGCATTTCGAGCAGCTCCTTGTCCTGCACCCGATTGTAGATGCGCTCGAGCCCATCGTGAATGGATGCACTCGTTGCCTGCTTCTCGCTCGCCTTAAAGATGGGTGGCTTGGCCACATCCAGATTGGGCGCCAGCCCCATTGAAGAATGACCAATCAGCGTGGAAGCGGCAGTCGCCTTGGTAACAGCAGCCAGCTGGCCAAGCACCTTCTCCTCGTATTCTCTGGTGACCGGCGGCTCGTCGGGCAACTCCCTGCCGGCAAAGTCCACCTTGATCTTGCGCTTCAGCCGACTGCCGTGCTTCATTTCGTGCATCTCGCTCTTCAGCTGCTCGTACTTGGCACGCTCTGTGTCCGTTAGCCAAACGGAGTTCTCCTGGAAGTAGTCCAGCTCATCGTCGATTACCGTCGTGCGCTTTTCGCTGTTCCGATCGTATTCCAGCAGACGATCACGCTGTGCCAGCGCCTCTTGCAACTTGTCCGAATCCTTGCGCGACTTCTCCGACAGCTGTTTTTGTTTTTGCTGCTTCTTTTGCGCCTTCGTTTGGCCTTTGGTGGAGGCGTCTGCCAACGACAACGCCGCCGCCTTGGCCATTAGCTGCTCCTCCTCGTCGGTGTAAACGGGCTGGGTGCAGTAGAGACAGGGACCACTTCCCTCCTGCTCGCAGACAATGCGGCCGCAGCGTAGGCAATTGTTAATCAGCTTGTGCTGCGCCGCCTGGCAATTGCAGATGCGACGACCCTTCAGCAGAATTTGATCGCCCATCATCTTCCCATCGCCGCCATATAAGTTCACAGATTTTCCCTGTTTTTTGCCCGCTCCGCCAGCGCTGGCGCTCTCGCCGCCAATGGGTGGCGATTTCTTTTTGAAATTTTGACTGCGCGGCTGTTTGCCGCTGAGCAGCATGCGACGACAGTTCTGGAGAAACATGCGATGCTCCTCATCCTCCTCGCACAGCAGATTGCCAAAGTAGTCGTCGAACGCCCGATCATCCTGGATGGCCAATATGGTGCTGCGGGTCAAGGGGGAATTTGTAAAACTTGCATTGCATTCACTATTTTCATCATGGAACTCACGCCATCATTTTGTCGGTGACGACGCAGTCCAGGCACTTGGATAATGTTTCGCTTAGCCACTTTTCCATTATTGGTGATGATTTCTGTGTCTGTCTGTCTGCGCACGATGAAGTCTCTCTTTGGTTAAAAATCTAAATTAAAATGTTACTACCTGTCACTCCTCTTTCTAATAAAACAAATAAATAACTTTGCGAAATAAAACTAGTTCAAAACAAAATGGGTAAACTCTTATGCATATCGATATTTTTAGCGGCAATATCGACGAATTTCATTTGTTACAGCAAGCCATGTTTTCATGTCAAAAAGTTATCGATAATGAAACGCTATAAAACAAGAGGGACGTTTTTATGACAAAACTGAAATCCACACTGTTAATTCACTGTCGACATGATGTTAAAATAATAAAGTTGATATATTTTGACGGCTGTTATCGGCAAACCACCACATAACCACATAAAATCGACAAGTGCATCGAAATGGAAATAATAAATGATGAGAGAACAATTACTTTAATCGTGGAGAAAAAAAGTATTCTTATAAAGGCCGTGGAAGGGAGAAATTAATTTATTAATTATTGGCTCTCAGCAGACCATCTTGTTTTTAGGTCCCACAACCGAAATTTGTATATATCGTGATCTGTTAGATCTTAAAGTAGCTCAAAATCAAATATCTACGGCATTTGATACCATAAATATATTGTACTTAGCAATATATTTTGAACAAAATCGATGCAAAGGTATATCGTGGACAGACATATCGTTATTTTTCAGCTGATACAAAAACTCATAGCATAGTAAGAACATTTTCAAAATTGTTAATTTTTCATAATAACAAATTGTACAATTTGCACCCATAGTAATTGAATATCGATGTCAAAAACTGACTTCTTTGAAACCAATATTAATAATATAAATAAATAAGCCGATATGAATTCTGTAAAATGTGCTTGCTTTAAAATGACAGAGCTGGCAGGCAGTGCTGAATAACGCACAGAGCCAGATATTGCAGCAATGTAAAGTCTGGCAACGCCGCGACAACAAAAATATACGAAATACAAGTTAAAACAAAATACAATAAATGCTCGTGCAAGGAATGGAAACATTTTAAATGCTTCACCGCTCCCGTTCGTGTGATGTTGCTGCCACAACTGATTCAACGTATAACAACTAATGATAAATGAAATATCGTGCGGGTGTGCGTTAAATTGTATTTTAAGTCCGAGACGCGCTGTGTTTGTTTAATTGTGTTGTGTATGTACAATTTGTTGTAAACAATTTCTTTTTCTCTTTCCTTTTTTTGTTTTTTTTTTTTGCCGTTATCCAAATAGAAAGTGTAACAATAACTGCGGCGGCAGCAGTGAAAGACATTTGCAAAAAATTAAGAAAAGTAAAAAAACTCAAAGCAAACGTCAACGCTGCTGGCGGCAGCAGCGACGCTGGCGTAGGCGTTGAAAACGCAGCTGAAGCAGCAGCAGCCACCCTCATTCGCAATCACATTCACATTCGCATTCGGCACAGCTGTAATAATTGTCGTCTGCAGAGGAGGGGGAAAGAAACTCTCATCTTTGGCGCTCGCTCTCCCTCTCTCACTCGCTCAGCCAGTCATTCGTCTGTGCTAACGGTATTCCGTAATAACTAGAGCCGCTATTGTTGTCGTTGCTGATTGCAAATTGCGTGTTTCTGTCTGTCTGTCTGTATGTCTGCCTGGCAACCTGTCTACGCCTCTCTCTCGCTCAGAGAGCGCGCCAATGTTGCCGTTGCCTTTAAAGTTTAAACTTAACACGCTGATAAAAATAGTTGCTTGCCAATTTTGATTTGTTTTCTTTTTATTAACAGTAGTCGATGTTGTAGCATTTCGCTTACTTGCTACATATATGTTACCGATTTACCAAAAATAATAGCAACAATAAAAAATTCAACAATGCAGAGCCAACAGCTGCTCGACTAAAACAGAGAAAAAAAAAAAACAGGCTCTGCTTGCGCCTGCGTCGTTGCCTGTGCGTGTGTGTGTGTATGTGTTGTTAAGCCGGCATATAACGGCACTTCAACGGAAACGTAAAACAGCTGAGACACAAGACGCAAGAGGTGGAAACAAGTGCAAAAAATGTATCGAATCGGTCCAATTGGACGGAAGTCGAACTTCCATTCGCGCGAGAAGTGTCTGATTGGACTCGTGCTGATAACGCTGTGCTTCCTCTGCTTTGGCGGCATCTTCCTTCTGCCGGATAATTTTGGCAGTGAGCGTGTCCTGCGCGTCTACAAGCACTTCCAGAAGGCCGGTCCCGAAATCTTCATACCCGCTCCACCGCTGGCCGCTCACGCGTCCCGCAACGAGGATCCCCATTTTATGGGCGATCGCCAGCGTCTTCAGCAGAAGATCATCGCTGAACTGGGTGACATTTTGGATGAGGAGCCGCAGGTGGCACCCGCAGCAGCAGCAGGCGATGCCGATGCCCAGGCGCCGGCACCGGCTGCGCAGCAGGAGCAGCCTGTTGAGCAGGATGTGGGAGCAGAGCAGCAGAATCGAGATTCCGTGCCACTGGCGGATCACACCACCCATAACAATAACAACAACAATGGGCAGCCGTTAAAGCTACCCATGGGTGTGGACAAGGAACGGGCGACGGGGGAGCATGCGGATGCCGCAGTAGAGGAAAAGCGTCTAAAAGTCAAAGAGGTGAGCTAATTTCCCAATAAGAACGTACTCATACACACATACATATATGCATATATATATATATATATATATATATATTTATATATATATATATATATGTATATATATATATATGTGTGTATATGTGCAGCTGCGGGAAAAATAATAGTGCACACATTACAATTGCAATTACTCAAAACAGGCAATACAGTCAAAATACTGAAGAAATAAGTAAATATGAAAAGGTGATAAGCTATCAAATTGTTAACAAATAAGTAATAAAAAAAGAAGGATTACCGACTTTAAACTGATTAATAATAGTAGTGGAGAAATAGTGAGGCTTTCGCCGCGGCTAAATAATATTGCGAAAAACTAAATATGATGGGTGGATGTACTAAGTAAAATAATCGTATTTTAAATCATTTCAGAGAAGACATTAAACATTTGTTCTTTGTTCTGCAAAGATTTTGAAGTGGGCTGACGTGGGAAATGAGCCATATTTTTATATGAGCTATAAAATACAGCGGTATCACTACTATATGTGTATATATGGATTTTAAATGTGTTTATGTACGTGGACGTGTGCTATCTCCCTTCTCCCCCATATATATGTATATGCATATGGGAAATTTTGGACACGGGCCTGGCCGTGGCAGAGAAAATATTAGAAAACATTCTTAGTAACCTTCCAAGTGTGCTATCTAAAGCACTTAAGTTGTGGGAGATAGAAGCCTTTATTGTTTTTATGGGTATTTCCTCATTTTTCATGGGTGTTACTAGTTTGGGGAGGTGGAGTGGGCGAGGCCATCATTTTATTTGAGAGTATCAAATGAGGCTCAGTGGGAAAAAATTAAAATTGAAATTGGCAACACTCTTTGATCGGCGATTCTTTTGTGGCTCGTTGCAAAGCTTGTATTATTTTATTCTATCAGCATCAAAGCCGGCGACCTCGTGCCCTGTGCTTCCTCTTCGTCACGGCTCGGCAACAGTGACGTTGACGGATGCTGTGACGCCGACGTAGACGCTAACGCTGATAACTCGTTTTTTTTTTTCATTCCAATTACAAATCTATTTTTTGCCACTGCGGCCCACAATGGATGGCTGTGCTCGCGATGACATCTTTAACATTGCCGACACACATTCCACCCATCCCTGAGTTCGGTTGACTTCGTTTGGCTTCGGTTGTGTTGGGCTGACTTCGGTTGACTTCGGAAGAATACTGCGAAAAAGTTTCTATGAATAAATTCAGCAGCATTGAGAAGAACAGTAAGGTGCAAAAACATCTGCTTCTTCCTCTGCTTCTATTTCTGCTTCTGCTGTTTATCACACACACACACACATACGCTCTTAAGAAGCGACTCGGATGCGTGTCGTGCTTATCTACTTACTTCGGGAAGCTGTCATTTGATTGGTCCGTTTATCTATATGCACTCGATAGATGTGCAATCTTTGCTATCGCTTTTGGGGTGGAGTTTAGTTTTTTTTATGATCTTTGAAAACTTTTCGAAAATTGGTTAATTAATTATTTTTATTTTAAATCAGAGCTTACATTTTTGTATTAGTGCTGATTACGATTGATATTGATGAAATGCCAAAGTGCTAATTGTGTTGAGCATGTTTGATTGAACATGTCTGTTCAATCTTCCAATAGTAAGATAACCAAGGAGGATTCTTATCGGGAAGATAAGACACCAGTCGTGGCCGTAATAAAACCTCCTGCGATAAAAGTTCTCCGAACTGATAGCATAGTGAATTTAGACGCATTTGCAGCAGTAATTGTGTACCTAGATAATGCCCTAAGTTGGATAAAAATAATTGTATATAGCCGTAAGATAATTTAGAAGTTTTCAATAAACCTGCCGGAGCAATGCGATAGCTGTCTATGTTCGATACTTAAACAACGTCGTTGTTTTCTAAATTTGCTCTTGGGATCACCTTTCAGTTGTACTTGTGCCTTATTATTACACCGCTTGTACATTAAATAATGTCTGTGTAGAAACACTATATACTAAATTGCTACATATGTTGGCAATTAAAGTGTAACAGTATCGAAACAATTTTGTTGCCCGTAAAACAACATGCAAGGCAGGAAAGGGGTGGGGAGGGGCGAGGAGGCAGGGGTATTCGTTTTGGACATGTTGTGCTTCCTGTTGCCGAGTTGCCAATTAATACTGCTTTCACTTTGTTGCTCATTTCATTACTATTGTTGCTGACGTCTTTTGGTTTATTATTATTATTACTATTCAGTTTTTTAAAATATTTTTTTATACTTCTTATGTATTCTACTGACCCAGAATGTCGTTAAGTAAGAGAGAATGAATGAATCAACCAATTCAGTAATCAAAGCAACAACAACAATCGATCATATCAACAGAAGAACGTTGACGTGGCCTTTGTGTTCACTCGTTTCTTCTTCTTCCTCCTCCTCTTCCACCTTTTCAAGTTTTTGCTTTTGCTTTCCGAAATGTTGTTGCTTTTATCGCCGCTATGGCACGTGGAACAACTTGTGTTTCCCAAAAACGCTGCTTATCAGTTTTTATCAGTTTTTACACGCAAAAACTATGCCTGGATCCAGTTAATTGGTGTCGCTTTCACTTTCTCTCTCTCTCTCTCTCTCTGTCTCTCTCAGTTGTGAGATTCTTCTTATGATCTTGCGAATCACATTAGGAAATATCAAAGTTAAACATTCATTTGATCCCAAGTATTCATTGTGTT